TATATATATATATAAATAACGTTAAAAGAAAAATGCAACTTTTTTTCATAAATCATAGGATTGAACAATTATTACCATAGAATACGAGATATGTGCTAGACTTTATATCCATAGACTTTTATAGCCACGTCTTTTAGCCGCTGACACAATTGACAAAAATATTTTTAACGTCTTATTATTCATGAGTAATTTCTTGAGACATTGACCGTCTCGCGTGTCCTTGTACAGTGTAAATTAAAAGTAAAGCAAGTAATTATGACGTATGTGTGTGGGAAACACAAAAACTATACTGTTATGTTAGCCTCGTTTTATTGAGGTATCTGCGCAGTTGTTTCTTTTTTTTTATGGGAACTAGAACTTTATACGGTACTCTATGATTGCTATATTTGCAGTTTTAGTCTGTAACTATTGTCGATCTCTTATTTTTTTATTAAGTGGATGTTGTTATCTCTACAAATCCTATTGTCTGCTACTGTTTATGTGAAGTAGGATACAGCGGGATCGTCGATTAAATTAAACAAAATAATGTTTTTACTATATTTTTTTATAGAAGTGAATTGTCAAGTAACCACTTATTAGGTAAGCAGTTAGCGACACGGTTATTTTTATGATAGAGGGGCAGACGAGCAGACTGGTCATAATATATTACGATATGATTTATTATTATTATATATTATATATGATATGATATATTATAATTATTATATGATTTATATCAGCAGTTTGGTAATATATTATTTATTATATATATTTTTAAATACATATTATAGATAGATAAATTACACCTAGATACAGAACAAATTATTGTGCTCATCACACAATTATTTGTCTTGGCTGGGAATTGAACTCTCGACCTCTGGCTTACCAGTCAGGGTCACTAACCAGTGGACCAAATAAACATGAAAACAGTGACACTTCACACTTCACACAACATTCTAACTTTCAAATATATCGTGTTTAAAGCGCACGATTGAAAAGATTCCACATCACTTAAAGTATCGATTTTTACATGCACTCGATTTGGATAATATCGATAATTGATCTACGAACATTACGACATACTATTATTTACGGTACGCTATAATAATTACTATATAATTTACGTTTGTTTTGTGAAACTGCTATTGTTTGTATGTATTAATTGTATTGTATTGTTTAATCTAATTGATTGTAACACGTCTATGTTATTATTTAGACGATTTTCCATTTGTGCCTGAAATAGGATACTTATACAACTAAAATGGAATTGAGATTATGCAGACAGGTAGAATAATTTAATGGAAATTGTACTGGGTTCTAGATACTTCAATATGAGAAAGGGGTTAGTAAAAATAGTTACTAAACACTTACATGATATAATTATTCCTACTTCACGTACAATGACGAAGATAAGTGGCTCGATTGTAGTCAAACAAAAAAATGTATATTTTCATAAGTACATCCGCGTAGAAACGAGGCTAAGTTTATAAGCGGTTATCGGAGGTTGTTAGCCGACCATCAATGCGTTACTGACTAGTACCTAGTCATACCAAGAAACTTTTCATTGGGAAACCTACGATTATATATTTTTATGGCATAAGGAGCAAACAAGGAGCCGGGTCATTTGCCGCCCTTTGAGTACAAAGAGATAAAGGAAAAACGGTTGACCTGCGATAACTTTCCTCACCCGGTGAAAGCCAAGAATGAACACTAATTTTCTATGTAACTTTTTATTATGGACCGATGCTAGCTGTTTGTTAGCAGATAAACCTACACCACTCCAAGAGCCTTGGTGACCGATCTGACTGAGGCCTCACTTAATAGTTTCGACGTAATTTCTGTCTTATTACCTACCTTCCTCTGTTCCAAATTGATAAATACACCTTTTCTACTATATTATCAAGCTATCGTGTACGTACGAAATAAGCGTAAAAAGGTCAATGGTTATCAACAAACCAAGGAATTCTGCTACACAAATACACCGTCACATCCATACTAATAAGTATTATAAAGTAAACTTTAGTTGTTTGGTTGAACGCGCTAATTCGAGGAATTATCAGTTCGAATTGTTTTATTTTATTTTTCAATTAATCAAGGAAGACTATAGACTATAAAACATAACGATATGACCAATTGACGGGCCTATTGGTCTAGTGGTTAGTGACTCTGACTGCTAAGCCGGAGGTCGTGGGTTCGATTCCCACTCAGGACAAATATTATGTGATGAGCACGGTCATTTGTTGTGTCTGGGTGTAATTTATCTATAATACTAGATGACCCGGCAAACGTTGTTTTGCCATATACATTATTTCTAGGAAATATTGAAAAAAAAATTGGGTTCGGTCACCCTTTTCATTTAGGGGTATGAAAAATAGATGTTGGCCGATTCTCAGACCTACCCGAAGTGCACACAAAATTTCATAAAAATCGGTCCAGCCGTTTCGGAGGACTATGGTAACTAACATTGTGACACGAGATTTTTTTATATAAGAAAGATATAAGATGTATCTATTTAAAGCAGTCTGGTTACCATAGTACAGGCTAGTTTGGATCTGCACCAGGGACTTCCTTTCTAGGGTATACCTGGTTCCCCGGCTATTAGTACCCGAGACGGCGTGCGGTTTTAGTCGGTTCGAGTCCGACATGCCACCGACAGGTGGTATCCGAGGGGAATTCCGCACGGAAAAAAAAAAAAGCTAGTTTGGATCTAATTGTATTGTTTTATAAGTTATTTTACCATAGTACTGCTTACTTTGGGATCAGATGGCCGTGTGTGAGATGTGTAAGATATATTAATATTACGACCGAATTGACGACCGAATGGCGTAGGGGTTTGTGTAACGGACTGCTATTCCAAATGTCGCGGGTTCGATTCCCGGTCAAGTCAAACATTTGTGTGCATGAACATTTAATGTTTGATTTGGTCTGGGTGTTTCTATGTATAATAAGTATGTATTTACAAAAAAAAAGTATGTATGTATTCATATCAGTTGCCTAGTACCCATATTACAAGCTCTGCTCAGTTTGGGACTTGCGTTGTGTGAATGTGTTACAATATTATTATTATATTATTATTATTAATCTTATATATAAGATTCTCGTGTCACAATGTTCGTTCCCGTACTCCTACGAAACGGCTTGACCGATTCTCATGAAATTTTGTGTGCACATCGGGTAGGTTTGAGAATCGGCCAACATCTATTTTTCATACCCCTAAATGGTAAGGGTGACCCATCCCTAATTTTTTTTGTTTTGTAATACAACGTTTGCCGGGTCAGCTAGTTATATATGTATAACAGGAGCCGAGTATCAATGAAAAATGTTACAAAAACAGGGCAAATTTGTTGCTTTTCAGAGACGCCAACTAAGTTACGCGTGTCAGCTAGTAGTTAATAAAAGCAAGACACCGTTATTTACTGATCCAATATGTAGGCTCTTCACCTCCTGTCAACGCTCTTCCGTTGACTGGACCGCGTCGGCCTTGACGCTCTGACGCCCGACAATGTCCCAAGCCCATCGTGAAATACCTGTAGGTACTGCTATAACTAAAACATTCTACTTCGTGATTACATTCGTAATTAATTGGGTTTCTTTCCATGATTGTGATTGCTTTGACAGCCAGTGAAGCCGGAAAATTCTGGAGCTATTTTATTTGCGAGCTTAATTATTGTGGTCGTACACGTTTAACGTTCATTTGGAGTCGTAAATTAGACTATAAATAATCTTCTGTAAGAACTAAACATGTACGCTTTATCCAAAGTTAGATTTCGTTAAGAAAACAATTTTATTTTACATAAAACATAAACATTATTTTTTTTAAAGTGTATGTGTCAAAAGCTAAAATAATAATAATAAACGCACATATAAATACGATGTTCCTTTTTTAAATAATACTTTTTGTTTATTTAGTTCATTCAACCTTTCTTTTTAATATTTTTTAAAGCCGAAAGCGTAAATACGACAAATTAATTTGCATTTCAACATCAAAGCTAATAAGCAAATGCAATTATAAATATGGAAAGCTATTTAAATCTGTTGGCATGTTGCCTCCTTCCTCCTTCAAATATCAGTTAATGCATTTTTTTTTGTAAAATGTAAATGCACTTACTAAATAAATAACTATAATAATATTTTCAGACATCTGACATACAACGCCATCTAGTTTCAAACTAAGCAGAACTTGTACTATAAAAGCTAGATTGAGTGATATAATACTCAAATACTTTTTTTTGTAGATACATACATATTATACATTAAATGTATCTAAGATTTCTTCACTTGCATCATGGAACTGTTAGTTATTTTAACTAAGAGATGCCTTGCCCCGATGTGTCTAATGCTTTAATCGCGTTTTGTAAAACTCCTCGCAAGTAACGGTGTCGACCCATTGAGAACGACGATACCTTAACAATCCAAGGATATGTTACTGTTCTATTGACTTTCGTGGTTCTTCTTCTTCTTGTTAAGTCCTTTCTCATATGTCTCTATCCCGAGACGCCTCGAATCCTAGAACGGACCTTCAAGCTACAGCATTATTAGTCCCTTTCGAAAATTGCATTAGAAGCTAGAGGAAAGGAAACCCTTGCCTTCCTAGCCCTATCCCGTGTCCGTTCACTTCTTACCTTGTTTAGTCGAAAAACAATTTATACCCGAGGTTATAAAGAAACAATAAAAACGCTCGGCTATATTTATTGTTGTACAACTCCAAATGATTTAGGAAATGGGCAGAAAAGTTATGATATTGATAATTTAAGTTATTTTATATATTCTTCTTCTTCTTCATCTATAAATGTTGATTTTACCTTTTGATTGTTAGAAAGTATAATAAAATGGTACAACAGACTCCAAGATTGTGGTCTAGATTGAAATTTATAACCCCTTATTTTTAATTTCAATTAGTATTCGGCCCGACATCTTTAGACACATCCTAAACCTGAACGGATGTGACTTTTAAGTCGCTTTTAACAAAAGATAGACAAAGATAGTTATATATTTTGACGTCTTTTTTTTATTGTTGACAGAGGGTGGCGGGTACAAAGTGCGAGCGCGCGGCGCGGTGCAAGAGCGCGCGCGGCAGGTGACCGACGGTCTGCGCGGCTGATGTGGGCGGCGAGCGCTTGCTGCTCGCGCCAGGCAGGTCCGTCTTTACAACAATATGACTCAGTATTCATTACACAGAATAAAAGAGACTTAACACAAGCCACAACCGAATTGCCAGTGTAAATCAACTATAAAAAGTTCTAAGTTGTAATAAGATTCAGATCTAATAGTAGTGTTGTATAAGTTTTTTTTTCGACGGTAATGATTACAGTTCATACCCACTAATATATTTAAAACATATTTCTGATAATTTATCATATACTTCAAACCCAAAGTAACAGTTTCAGTGTCATAAAATCGTATAATTAAAGAATAATATACATGTATTCATAGTTTGATTACACGTTTTGAGTGTTTTCTTCTCATTTTCAAATATAATCCTAAGAGAGAGTCAGTCCGTCCGTACGAGTCCTAAAGTCCTAAAAGAGGGAACCGAAGTCATTAAAACCGGTCACGCTGAAAGCTACTATGGCTAGCATTTGCACAGTATTTTCTGAAATTCATTTCTAAATTATCTACAATCAGGAGGAACAATAATGTTTTTGAAGAATTCATCAACTTTGGGTCTGAAGTACATGCTGGTATAATCTCAGAAAAGCCATCCACCGATAGTTGAATATGCATAAGTAATCTAGTAATAAAATAAATAGGAAGAAAATACAATCGTACTTTATGCTTCAGACACATGCGTATATAAAAAACCTAATTGCTAAACGTATTTAGAATATTAAAGAACATAGTACAGATAAACAGACTGTAAATGCTATATTTGGCGCTGTATCATATTTTCGACAGTAAATAACACGTCATAAGAGTATTTAAGAGACGCAACTGACGATGGATGGTACAACTTTACGTAATTTATGACCTAATATATATATATACATAGATATTTTATGTACGGAACAATGTTTCCGATCTAATTTTACTTCGTACGTACTGTCCCATGAGTGCCGTTGTTATAACGCCCCACGCGCACTATACTTCAATAACCGCTAGTGAGATTACGAAAAAAAGGATTTCGTGTCTTCTCTATGAAACTTTAAAACCTACCTATTCGTCTTTATGTGTAATCTTTCAAATGTTACAAACAATTCTTAGACATAAATAGCAACTTCGAAATCACAAGAAAGCAAAGGCGTTTATTTCTTAAATTGCACTTTGTGCTTTACAACTGCTAATATATTTTTGGATGAATTCCAAAGAGCGAAAACGGTGGCAAAAATTACATTCTTACCCGTACGAAATCAACGATCTCTTGCAACATTCAACTGAAATGCCAAAATACTCGTACCTTTCATTGTATTGTTCGTCAAATATTTGATCCTGTCTGTTGGAAAAATATAATTTTTTCTTCTATTTATAAACTTAACTTCTATTTATATTTGTCTATTGTGTTTAATTTCTGTACTGAATTATAATGGACTATCACAAAATTAGAATAATCTTTGAACCCAGTAAATTATATCACCTTGAAAATATATAGTCTGTGAATGCTAAACCTTGCATTTGGCAGAATGATCGTTATCCCAACGATGGAGCAATTTATTAAAATTGTGCCTGAAGATGACAACATACAAATAAGAACTTGAATTTTAATAAAGCAATTATGTCTAGTCTTTTAAAACGCTTTGTAGACAGTCCCAAAGATTTGCTTGTAAAATCGGCTGTTTATAATGGCTTTCAAATGATCGGAGACTCTTGGAAATAATTATTTGATCAGTATGATCAGTTTCTTAATGTCCTATGTGAATCTCAATGGCGGTTCAGAGGGCCTAGTTTAGTGTGTGTTTAGTTCAAATCAACTCGATCGTCACGGTGACTGCCTTTAGCGCTGCGATTGGCCCGGACTAAAATCTTCACCAATCGCAACGCCAAACGCGCTCGGCGTCCGAGGTGAGTTGATGTGAATTAAACTCACGCCAAACCCCCCGGATAGTGCACTTAGGGCGTCCGCCAGCTATGTGTGGTTGACGGCGGTGTATGTTGGTAGCTAGCAGGCACTCATGCGTGACGGGGTGACTAACCGTGGCGGGCTGGCAGGCGAGGGCGGGGGCGCCACGGCCGCGCGCACGCCAGTCAAGACCTTCCAGGCGTATTTGCCGCCAGCGCACCGCACCTACAGCTGTATACATTGCCGCGCGCACTTGGCCAGCCATGACGAGCTTATATCGAAGGTAAATATACATGAGACCTTCTACAGCTACCACCACAGATGCACCAAACGACCTATCATCATCAGCTCTGTAGCATTTGGTAACAGCGCTAAAACTTCTTACGCTAGGCAGACGCAGCGTGGTGTATCACAAACTCTTTGGATCTTTTCGAATCAGCATACAATTTTAGATTTAGGTGCAGGCTGTACAAAGAAAAAAGACAAAGCGTTTTTTTTTACATATTCTGAACACCTTAACACAACCGAACATATCGAATTGTATATACTCTATAGTCTATGTCAATGGTTTATAAAAGGATGCAATGTATGTATACCGTGGGATACCTGAATCTGTTGACAAAAATAAAGAGATTCAAACGGTATAATAGTTATTTGTTTACCCGACGTTTCATTTGGATCGTAACGATCGTGATCGAAGGTCATCGCATGAGAGCTCAGCGATCGTAAACTGACCGTAAACCTCAACAAAAAATTAAGACAAAATGCAAAATGGTTGACGAAAATAGCATAACTTTCACGTAGCTGGCACTCTGTAAATTAATCGGATGTACTCTTCGTAACTTTTGAGATAGATCTTATTCTAATAGATGGTATCCTCATGAACAGTCCATAATACTAATAAATATATATATGCAGTAAGATTAATATCATATATACACACACATTAGGAATATTCTGTGCTTTTTTTCACCTATACTGTAAATCAATGCAGTGGTTGAAAGTACTTGAGAAAACATATCTAAAAGTTAAAATTAGATGTGACCTATCGTACCAATTCCTTAACCGTATGCCACGGACTCCAAATTTAAAGAAAAGAAACGTTTTATACAAACTGACAAAAATAGCTCACTATCTCATTATAAAATTTAATGGCGATCTCAACAATTAATCACAATGTTTATGAAGTGGTTTGCGTCCTAGAAACTAACTACAAAGAGTCAATTCAAACTGAGTGCGTTGAACTAACTTGACACAAAAATTTGCGCGGTCTTTCTATCACTATATTCATCACAATGACATACCTACTACTTTTTTTCTAAAACAACCTACTTTAGAATTTAAAGTTCGTCATGCAACCAATGAGAGTATAATGGTTTTCAACTCAAAAGCTTCAAAGTATGGATCCTTCTATTTAATATGAATATTCTTCAAATATCAGAGGGCTAGGACTTTTCTGTAACTTCAAGTTATGGAAACCCGACCTAATTCAGCAAATTTTTTTATATGGCAGTAATCCCTCCCCCACTACTGAAACCACTGTACACCAGGATCAACAGCAGAATCTACGAACACACGAAGTTATGGCACTCGGGAAATCCCAGGAAAAATAAACTCTTGAAACCAGCAACGAAATTAATCAGAAAAAATTAGAGGAGTTGGAAATACAGTAAGATTTATCATATTTTCAACTCTTCCAATTCAGATACTTTTGCCGGGACTTCCCCGAGTATCATTACTTGGTGTATTCGTTACAGTTACAGAAGTAACAGTGGTGCGCGTGTGGGAGGGATTAATCCCAAAAAAAAAAAAATCTTAATTGGCTATTGCTTATATTCCCCAAAAACATCCGTATGAACTATACTTCTCTTTTTCCGTAGCCTTCCCGTCATAAGTCAATATACCTTTCCCTTCACGATATCTTCAATATCTATTTTCCGATCTTTAATTTCCAATTTCCCGGTTGACGGTCTTACGTTCGTGCCTTTATTACTCAAATGGAACTAAACTATATTTAGAATAAATTGGACAATTAGTATTTATGTACAATAGGCGTTTCTATACCGCTAGAATAACTAAACAATTTATGACACAAATATACGAGAATTTGTAGTGACCAAAACATTAATAACGTTTAAATGAACAATCTTTGTTTTTCAGTCGTTCCAAGGCAGCCAAGGGCGCGCGTACCTCTTCAATTCCGTGTAAGTTATATACACCTTATTACCTTATATCCAATTATCATGCATATTTCATATAAACCTTACTGCGTATTTTAGAATTATATGTATACGAAAAAGATCCCTGCTTCTCTGCAGTATAAAGTTTAGGTTTAATGATAACACTTAGCATTTCTCCATCTAAATTTAAGCTAGCTAAATGTTAAATGAAAGAGCTGATTCCAGCTAGTGTTCTAAGACCGATGACTTGACATTAAGAGACGGTTTAACATTTGGCAAAAATACTCTCTGAAATATCTACGCATGTAATTAGTGCTTTTAACAATAGTTACTCATACGATAACAACATTTGAGCACATGCTTGATTACTCTCAAAGTAAATATCTTTTAAAGTTATAAGTTTAATAAAGTTATAAAGTCGATTTTTAAACTAAGTTTTATTACTAAACTTTTCGAAAAGCCTCCATCCAAAGCTAGACATCCAGAGTTAGCAGGAACATAGTTAGGACATAGTTTGTATGATGATAGTCGATTGTGATTAGTCAAGGGCACTAGCACTTGTTGACTCGTAAAACCATATGATTTTTGCCACCTGCCTAAAATGTTGAAAGTAAAATCATATTTTCATCGATTGAGTTTTGCAATAAATGGTTCAATGATGGCCTCCACTTATGTTATAACAAGTCATATTAATGTGAACTTTGGCCGTTGTTAGGTTTTCCCGAATGAGTGATGATCTGATTTTAATGAAAGACAAAAAGTGATCTAATAGGTTAAAATCAATGCTATTCCCGTAGTCATAGGTGCTATTTTTGCGTGCTTTATAGTAGGTAATACAGTTTGATATGATGAATGAACTGATATCAAGCATCCTATATTGAAATTGTTATCTTTTAGCATATTAGATGTATCGTGATTTAATCGCTGTATTAGTTAAGAGATAAAATATTTTTATTATAATAATTGTTTATCACATTTTTAACACGAAAATAGAGGTTTAATAACGTGAACACTATTATAGGCGCTTTTTCATAGTAAAAGTAAAAGTAGGTAATAAGTAAAAGTAAATTTTCATTCGATACTTTGGGCAACATCGTAAATGCTTTAAAAAAAATTGTAGGTAGCATATGGATTCATTCACACATCTTCATAAAATCAAGTCTCTCAAAATAAATCTTTATTTTTCTTTTTCTTAAAACGAACAAGAAAAGTTTCGTCATTAAAATGCGTTTGTGTCCAACAAGCATTTTTAAGATGCCTTTGTTTGCTAACTTAGTGTATTTCTAATGTTCCAGTGTGAATGTGGGCTGCGGCCCGGCAGAAGAGCGTGTTCTTCTGACAGGGCTGCACGCCGTCGCCGACATATACTGCGAGTGCTGCAAAACCATGCTCGGGTGGAAATATGTAAGTGACAGCTAGGGCTGCCTAAAATTTTCGGTTGAATTTATTTGTTCTTTTTGCACGACAAAGCGAATTTTCCAATCTACCCTTTGGATATCAGAGCTGTGTTATCAGAGGTATATTTTGAAATCATAGGATAAGAGAGAAAAAATTCCATAAATTTGTCTACATTAATGTACTGGATACGTACACATATAGCTTACATTATACACACAAATAATATAGACACTTCTAAAGTATTAATATGATTGATGATTCGTAACATCTAAATATAGTTTAAAATCGCATTATAAGTATTAAGATAACCTAAAAAAATATTTAATATGTAATACATTCCTTTTCATATTTAAAAAACTACTTTGTGTTCAATTGTATAATGTTATTGATTATTATCTGTTATAGGAAAAAAAGATCTCTCTTAATGAAATAAAGCAATTTGCATAGAATCATTAATCACAATATACGAGTATAATACAATGAACGGTTGACAACCCTATTGTCAACCCTTAATACAGTTTTGTTTTTATAGATATCGAGAAAAATATATAGAATAAATAGATTGGAAGAAATCTATGTTGAGCAGAGGGGGACTGTTGGCTGATTGGAGTGATTGAACCTCTTAACAAAAAAGAATATTTTATTGATACGTAGATATATGTATGTAATCTACATATATATTAACTACACATTTTCAATTTAGTTATGTGTTATTTTCATATGTAACGGAGTAATATAATAAAAATAAACTATATATGTACATACAAGTGTCACAAAATTCATGCACATCGTCGCCTAGGGTGTTAGTGTAGTAGTAGTGTGTTCTCAGAAGGTTGTCAGTATGGCAAATGGCTCTGCTCTGTGCTAAAAAAGAGCTGCTGTGTAGTCACGAGAAGCAACTGGAACGAGCACTCGGACTCCATAACTCCGTCTCGACTTTAAACAGTATAAAAATATACATTTTAAAACTTTTGTATTTACGTCGTTTAATGCTTTATTCAAATTTTGCATTTATTTGATTTACGATACACTCAAATTTTCAATTTAGCTTTTACTTTAATGATTTTAAAGGCACTTTTTCTTCAGTACGGTTTTTCTTCAAATATGTTTTAAGTCTGGTGTTGTCAGGCTGAAGAGACTTTTTTGTAAGCCACCGATATGTTTGTTTGCCACACTCATGGTATAAAAGTTGTGAGGTACATTACAGTGTTAACTTCATGTACCATTAATAATTATTAAAAGAAATTTAAACTTGCTGTTGTCGTGTAGCAGAGGATAAAACCGTTCCTTATATCTTCGTAACGTACACAAGTACTCAGACGCTGTAATTACAAGCTATTGGCCAATATGTAGGTACTGTGCGTTTTTATTACTCGATTTGTTTCTCACAGCTCTTTAATTAATAGTGTGGCAATCTGGCTGCATATAAACAACCACCTCATCACATGTTAACAGTTTATTATGACTACAAATTGTCTGTTTAACTTCTTTTGGTTTCGTTCATTGGCCATTTTTTAAAGTTTTAAACATTTTACTTAGCTTTCTGCCATTTTCTGTACATTGTTAGTATTTCCATGCAAAAACTATAAGTATTTTTATTTTCGAATTACTGCATTCCTTTTTTTCTTTTAAAGCTTAAAGTAAAGAATTCTCTCCACGTATTAATACGACGTTGACGACGACGGCGACGTTTTAATCTTCACAAATCATTTATTTTCAACCTTTTTCTTGTCGCGCATTCATTTCCTTGTTTCAGATATTTTTATTTCTGACGGCATCTTCAAAATGGCATTCTCGGTTCCTTTGTAACTTTACCTCTGAAGCTTTTATCAAAATATCTTTTGTACTTCGTAATCAGCGAACATTTTAAACATTTTTTAAGTTTTAAAGGAATGCTTTTAAGTCAGTTATTCATAATGTAACTTGGATACTTAGACTTTTATAGAAATGTTTGTTTCTCAAAATTTCAAATTTGTTTTCGAACTGGCTTTTTGTATTTTCTTTCGTTATTTTGCAATTGTGATTTTGTCCTTCTGTATGTTCTTCTTACTTCATCAGCTCACTTATTAAGCATGGTGATGAGTGTATATTGCTAGAATATTAAAGTTATCGATTCGCAACTCGTAAAATGCTAAACATTATTATTGTGTAGTTCCGATAGCCCTATGTAGTCTTCATCATTAGTTCTCTTTCACCAAATGGTGCTTTCCAATAGGAAATGCACGGTTAATTTGAAAATATACCCAAATCGCTATAAGTTTGCCTATATATAATTATTTAAAGAGTTTCTTCGATTTCTCCAGGATCTTATCAGATCCAGATCTGATGACAATTATGGTCCCAGGAAGTAGAAATAAAACATTTAAAATCAGTCTCCATCGCGCTGTATACATATTTCGCATGACCGGGATTCAAACAAAAAAAAGGAGTGCGACGAACTGAGATCCACCATTTTTTTTTAAATAATGGGCAGGTAGTCAGTCACTGCATAAGTATCATGACAAGATATTTGTGTTGTATTTGTGAATAGGAACATACGTGGTAGAGATCATAATCTCTTACCCAATGAAGTCAATAATAAATAATAAAATGGTCAGTAACTTAGTTCATGAAATTCTTCGTAACAAAAAATGAGGCCCGCATACATACCTGTACAGGCATTTGGAATCTATTTAATTCTTATCCTAATTTTGAGTATATGTTACACTTCTCTCCTCTTTTCATCAGAAATTAAGTTAAACTCATCCTATAAAATAAAATAACCAAAACCCCTATTACAACTTTTACCTGCCCGTTCTCGCCATAATCGCGACGTTTTGTTTAATTAAACTTGACTTATTCCAAAGAGCAGGCACCTGTTAGTAGCCTTTTTCATATCCTTACCCTTTTTTGTTACAGGAGCACGCGTTCGAGTCGAGTCAGAAATACAAAGAGGGCAAGTTCATAATAGAACTGGCTCACATGGTGAAGGAGAACGGGTGGGACTAGGCGCGCGGCCAGGCCCCCGGCGGGCCGCGCGCCGACTCCAGTGGACAGGCCCCGACTTAGGCCTCAGTGGACTACAGTGCTGTTGTGATACGATTGGTGGCCAAGCGCAGCCCACACACCGGCGCATCAATAGCAAAGACTTTCGTCAATTACCCGCAAACATCTGATATGCACCACGAGTGTTCCTTTACGGCCATAACTGGGCCATAACCGGCCAGCAACGATGAACTCCCGCCGCGAGCTAGAGCCTTCGTGATGACGTGTCAGGCGAGTTGGACAGTAAAGCTCGCCTTTGATGTCCGAGAGACGACGTGAACAGTCGACGCTCTACGCCAGGGAGCTACACGTGATTAGGTCCGTAGTGCTTTGGCGTGGAGGGTGTTATCTGAGGCTCTTATAGCTGTACAGATACATTGTTGTCGCGCAGGTCGGTCAGGTCCTCACAACATATTATTTTTGTCACATTAACTAATTCTTAATCGGGTGGGGTCTGACCGAGTGCGGGACACGTAGACTGTCCGCGTTCGCGCGCAGTGAGAATGTCGCCTTATGTGCTCTTTTACTTTAAAACGGCTTCAGCGCTTTGGCACCGCCAGTCAACGTTATGTTATATTGTTATAAATGTAAGTAATCGATCTCAACCGCCCCACTTGTACGGGGCTATGGGCTTAGAATTTATTTTAATTTGTAAACGATTTGATTGACGTCGCGCCGTCCGCGTCGGCGGCGCGGGCGGTAGTACACCGTAAGTTGTCTTAGTTTTTACATTATGTAGCTATGTATGTACTGTATTGAGAGAACACTAATACTTTCTCTTGTCCCTTTTAACCTGTGATAAGTATGTTAGTAATAGACATTTTGGATTTCTTGAATATATTCTTTCAAGGAGTTGCTCAGATAACGTCAGTTGTTCCTAATGATTTCAGCTGTACAATTTGCTTATTATTTTTGTTTTTTATTTTGTGAGGAACCTAGTCGAAACTATGACTTGTGGAAAGATAATTTCCATTTTGATTTATTTTGCGCCTAAAGTTGACTTTTAGTTCGTAATTGTAACAATTTATCGACTACTCCTCGAATTTTGAACTTTGATTATTTGACGGAATTTATTTTGCCAAATTATTTTTGAATTAGTTGATATCCGAAAATACGGATTCTGAGCTCATTTTTATAAACGAATATGGCTGGTTAGCTATCAGACAGTTTTATTATTCATTTATTGTTTCTATTTAAATATAATCTATTAGATACCTATATATTCTTTATTCTAATCCATGGTACTTCATTTATAATCGTATAAAGTGTGTACTGTAAGGAAGTGCATAAGCTTGGATTACATGTCAAAGAAGTAGAGTTATACGCAATTTTATTTCCCTAAATCGTTACAATATCGACACGCTGACGTCCGACTTCATACATAGTCTTGTAAATTATATATTTTTTGTATGTGCGCAAAGACTCTCCGTCACATTCAGTTTCAAAGCTCACGAAGCAAGTCCCATTTCACTAACAAATTACAGTGAAATTATACGAATATTTATTTTCATTCATATTATTTTTCGGTAATAAATCAATTTTGAAGTGACACCTAAGAAAAACTTACATGGCAACACTGTCTGTTTCTAGTTGCGATTTATGACAGAGTTGCCAATGTTATGTTAGAATACACATGTCAAACACAACATTTTACAAGACCAATAACTAAACCTGTGATGAAATAAAAAAGAACAACAGAAGAAAAAACTTCCTGTTTTCTATTTTTAAAATTTAAATGACTTCATTTTTAATTATATAAGGCCAATGGATGTTTGCGCTTGGAAACAAACATGTGTAACTTAAGAATATAATATTCGTGTAAATAATAACGAACTTAGTGAGCTTTTAAACTATCAGTTATATGTATATCAAGAGCGTTGATAACTGCCACTAGTTATATACTTGTAATTTACATTATATAATACAAACTCAACATTAAGTGAACGCTCGTTCAATGTAACACAATATATTATTCTGGACATAATTAAAGTGCAAAATTCATATTATATTACGTGTATGTGTTATATAAGCAAAATACACTCAAATTTTTATAAATATACTTACGAATATTTTTGAGACAAACTTTAATAACGCCATTTTTTTTCGATGCTAAAGATTCTTAATTTGAAAACTTACGTTTTCACTTAATATGTCCAGAAATGTCTTAATGTTGTCAATCTTTTATAAACAAAACATTGTTGACATATATCTTTCGTCATTTTTTATACAGCTCTGTTTTGTTAATAGAAGATCTTAAAAGCACTGTTTGACTGATAACTGTGGGGTTTTCACCAGGACTTTGGTAGAGGAAAAAATGTAAACGCCTATAACCATTTTTAATTTTATAGAGTTATCATTACACAAATTTTGATATATTTCCCACTGAATTCACGTAACTGTCAGGTCGCCAATATTAATTTTTTGTTGAACATACTCTTAGTATCATGACAATAAGATAAATAATCTGTGTTCATTATTATTCAGTACCCACAAAATGAACCTCATCCATTACAGGTCCTCTATTGGATACAACTTACTAAAGGTATCTTAGCTTCACAGTTTCAGTCCAACATATACTTTTAACAACACTACTTATATTTTTACAATAAAATGTATAAAATAAATGGCTACTTTAGATTCTCAAATTTAATTTTAGAATTTAAGGTGAAATTCTGTAGTCATTTTTAATTAAAAGACGTATTTGTGAAGTAAGTTCATAATAAATATGTTACACCAACTATTTATCAGTATTTTTGTACAAGTTATAAATGTGTTTGCTTACATATTCATTTAAAATTGAATATACATGATTAACTAAATATACATCGATGTAACACCAGGTAACTATTTGTTGCATTCAATATGTCCAACATTCCCCAAGATAACATTCAACACATATTTACACGTTTCTTCTAATGTTGATTGGACTAATAAATATTATTATCATTTTAGTGTAATCTGGAACTCGTAAAAGGAACTGGAACATACTGTTTGAATAAGCAGGTTACATAGGAAGAAGTCTTTAATTCCTGTAAGTTCTTCTTGTCTGTAAGTTGTAAATATTTTTAGTCGAATCAACCACCCGTCGAAGTGATTTGTTAATACCTTGTTATTTTAATCATCGTCAATACCTATATTCTAACAACGGCTACATTTTGGTCCATAACCTGTTTTGAGTATTAAATGGTTTGTGTTCACCTGAAATAATTGTACTTTTAATTAAATGTGACTAAGTTGTCACTTGAATTGCAAAAAGAAAAAAGAAAAATACTAATCTTTTATCAAGCAATAATGACCTAAAAATTTGACTTAACCTGACGAATAAAAGCACGGATTCATTAAACCTACCTATTCCCTAAAAATTGACAAGTTATCATTAAAAAAAGGCACTATCACCTAATTTTAATATGTAAGTTTTTTTATTCTAGTGTTTTACATGTTCTTTTTTTTTCTTGCAATTCAAGTTAAAGACCGTGATTACGCATAAAAAACAGTAAAGTTGTTAGAATACTGTTAAGACAGACAAAAAGTTATCATGTATGAAACAAGTCGTGATTTTATCAATGTTTTAGGTCAGACGCACTACAAAAATCTGAGTTCTATTATTATGACATGGTATTAACGAAGTTGCTTTCGTCAAACTTAGCCTAACAAAATTGTAACAGATACGTCTTTTCAAAAACATATTCAACGTAAAATAAGATCAGAGGATAAATGCATTGCAAGTTCACTGTCTGTATAATGTAATCGTGTTACTGTTATCATTAGGATTAATGTTAAGATTTGGATGCACAATGTTCAATGAAAATGTTTAAGAGGCTGAATGGTAGTGGATAGTTAAAAACCCCATGTATAGACAAAGTACTGTCTTCGGTGATGTATATAGAACGTACCACTTATATCATCTGTGACATTATTTGTTTCCAATCTATTAACAAACTCAATTATCAAATAAGCGAACTGATAGATTACTTTCTTGTAAGCATTCTTCATCTTCAACACTATCATCAATATTTTTACGGCCTGAGTTTTAATAACTGCTTGACTGATAACTTACTGAATGACTTACTGTTAATAATGGGAGTTCTATTATATATCTACTTCTTTACTATATCTGTTCGTGAGAGAGGCTTTGCACAATTATTCAGTGCTTATTCAAAAAAAAGGTTTAATTATGAAACGACAAGAAAGGAATTGCCAATAATTACAGCATCGGTGTTACATAAATTTAAAAGTAGTTTAAAGTGTATACGAAAGAATAATAAACTCCACTTGTTTGATCTTGTGAAAGTAATTTTGAACTGGCATAACTATTTCTTGTGGCCGTACAAAACTCTATGATTACTACTGATGACTTGTAACGAAATGCTGTAGACAATATTTCGAAACCAAAATACCTATCTCATTCCTTATAAAATCGAAAAATTGTTTATAGCATTTTGTTAAAAACCAGCGACAACACATACAGCTATATTATCTATTTTCAGTCAAATAAACAACCCTCGTTACTAATTGGCTAAAAGTTTATATATAGTTTTATTTATCGACATGTGACTGTTTAGAGCGACACAATATTTTCATCATGAACATTATGCAACACAGTAATTGAAACCTATCGAGATTGTCACAGTAGTATAGAATTAACACTCTTAGACCCCACAATGTATTCTTTGACGCAATTCAACATGAAAAAAAAAATTAAAAAAAAACTTGATGATAGTGAGAGGGAAATTGAAAAAAAGAAGCTAGATTTCTGTGAGGCATAAAGTATTTTTCTACTTGATCGTTTAGAAATGCTATTAGATATTTTTGGACCATTGTTAAGATAAAACTATGATCAGTATTCGTGGAGTGATGAGAGTTGATGTTAGTTTTTGTGGTTGTTGGTGGAAGTGATAGTTGTTGTCGAGATTAGTAAAAAGCGCTTCTCTAGCTCTACAATGCACCCTTACACTTTACCGTATCGTTTAAGGGCTTCTAATGTATGTCATTGATATAAACAACAACACAGAGTCTATGTACGTAGTATATTACTTTTGACAATATTTTTTTTTGTTTGACATAAAAATGTAATAATGATATATTCGATCAATATTATCGAAAACGAATTTTCTAAAAGTGAGAAACCCATGTATTTGCCTTTACTTTATTTTTGCTTATAGTGAAAATTTTAATGATTTAGATAAAATTTCGTTCAAAGCGCTCTTCATGTAGTAAAAAGGACGAATCATCGTCGTGGTAGAAATCGATCTTATTTAGAAAAACGCCTCAGTCTGACTTACATTATTATAATTGAACTTTTAAATTTATAATGGACATGTTTTAGAAGCTCGAAAACATCCAGGTCTTGGAGTGTTAACTGGTGATCAAGAAATGAACAGCGTATTCTATAAAATGGTGCATTTCGTTAAATACATGTACATTTCGCATATGTTTAAGGTATCCCGAGTAGTTGTTTACCAAGAAACCGCTTAATATTTTTGTATTTTCCTAGTATGTAATGATGCATTATAAAAAAAAAAAGTTCGTGGTGTCTTCTACAGATTGTGTACGCATATGCTATAGATGAGTAAACATATTTGGTTGAAATAATAAGTGCGTAATAAAACACATTTTCGTATTAAAAATATTTTGGCATTTTTATTTCTTTAACAAGTATCGCCTTACCAATATTATTTTGATTATTAAGAATGCATTCACATATTTAACTACAAAAACAGGTGGCAGTTGATTTTAATTTACACATAATTTTATAAAACTATCAAGTTTAATGTGGTAAATAGAAAAAAATGCGCTATCGACAATTCAGATTTGTTTTTGGAGTGGCAACTGTCATCATCTCATTGGAGGTAACGTAAGTGTTTTTATGACAGTAAAATTAACGTGTAACCCTTATTCTTTTAGTTAATCTAACAAAATTTGTGAACGCATCCTTAACACTAAACAATTAGGTTTTTCACAGGCGACTGACAGTAAAGATGTATACCTACGATCTATTGATAAACTATGGTTTTAATAACATCATTACAGAGTCAGAAAAATGACCAAAAGCCATTAACACAAATATTGTTAACTAAACTAGGCCAATTGACCTAGTTTTAAAGCGCTACTTTAAGACAACACAAGTTATTTTTTTAGAAATAACATATCTTGTAACATAGTTTTTACACGAAAATATTCCAAATGAACAGCTATTTTCTATTAAATTTAGATTACTAGGTATAACATCTCCAAGTTAGTCGTTTGTGAAAAACCTTATTGACTAAGTGTTTTGTGTAGCTTATAACAGTTAATTTGCAGTACAATGAATCACAATAAAGTAAAAGAAGAAATCGGTCCTCTAGTCCTACTCGTATAGAAATTGTCTCAACTCTAAATCAAAGAGTTCTTGTGGATTGCACACTTATGGGATGCAACCACAAAAAACTCATGCCACTAGTCTATGTTCGTTGAAGTAAGACACTTTTATCTTAACTGTTATAAACTGGCAGTGTCCGTAATATATTAATTTTACTATAGTCCATTTGCGTTAAGAAAATAGTGACGTATCAATCAAGCAACGCCCCCTGACCAATTAGGTTCCATGCTTTCATACGAAACGATAATTTCTTGGAACCTGATTGGCCATGGTGGTGTTTAATCGATGCGTCATTATTTTCGTAACGCGAATGGACTAAAGCTGTTCCTGAATAGGAACAATTTTTTTTTAACTACTTTATAGAGTTTTGAGCATAAATAAATTTAAAAATCAAAATGAGGAGCAGCAGACGACATATTATGTAACATGTGATAAAGACACAAGGTAGTTCTTTTATTTTATATTAATATTTTGGCTGAGGAATGGAAAAGAAGTGAGATCAGAACAGAATACGTCCATACTAACCCAAAAGCAAGTATAACAAATGACGTTGTGTTTTATTTAAATGTAGTGGCAGCTTTATAATTTACGAAAATAACAAATAGTAAAAATCACATTAATTAAATCAAATAAAGGAATTAGTGCATAGTTTTTAAAAGTTTAAATAGAAATCATCAAAATTTAGTTCATAAATTAACAATCAATTTCAATAAAAGAATTATAAATAAATAAATTCAAACCAATTAAATATTCTCTAAGTATAGGAAGAGCTAGAGATAGATAAGGTCGTATAGGTATATTATGTGATGTACAACGTGACTCGACTCTTTGCTGTACAGTGCTTACAGTAAAGCGCTGTACAGTGTGGCATATCAAAGATTGGTCCTGTTGGTTTAGCGCTTACTGATCCTGTCTTGACTGCTAAACCAGAGGTCGTAGGTTCAATTCCCACCCATAACATTTTTTTTTTGTGTTTAGGTGTAATTTATCTATAATGTACATGTAATTAGAAATATGTAAGTACGTTTATCAGCAGTCTGCTATCATAGTACAGGTTCTGCCTAGTTTGAGAATCTAGATGTTACATTTATTATTAATGGAACTATATCCGAATGAACCGTAAAACATAACTAAACTAGGCTAATTGGCACAATTTCATATTATAGGCTAATAGGCATTGATTGTTTCTTTCTGTAAGTCGTTTAGTAATCATAATCATTCTAGTTTAGACAGTTTTATTCTTGTATACCGCAAATAACCTTTGTACCTCCTAACTCTTATAAAATCATTGCCTAAATAATAAATACGTAATTACTATCTATATAAGAGGACAAACAAATATTTAAAATTCTTCGACAAATCTTACTAAACTAGTATTTTTGATGGTATCATAGTTCAAGAGGGAAGAATATTGTGTTTTAGGACACTAGTTTATTACATTGGGACTAAAATTATATAAACAGCAAATGGACGTGGCACTTATATTTAATTTAAAATCATTTTATCAAAATCTGGAGAGAAGGGATCTGGCGTTATTTTAGTCAATATTCAAACAAAAACTGCTAAATGCTTATTAGGCATGGCACAAAATGACAGTGAACTCTGAAAAACCGGTGATTTAGCATTTGTTTTTTTCGTACGTAGGTTAGGGTTACTACTTACTGACGCGTTGTTGTCAATAAGCTGTTTTCAGACGATGCGTAAAGACCCTATTTCGCCTATTTAACAGTAAATCTAGGAATTCTTTTATTATATATATCTACCATTCCCTACATAATAATAAAATACTAAATTTACTGTTAAATAGCGTCTAACATATCTACCTAGCAACCCTAACCTACGTACGCCAAAAATCGAATGATAAATCACAGTTCAATGTGATTTTGTCCCATGTGTAACTCTTATGTAATCATATCAAGCCTCTTAATTAAATTATTACGAGCTCTAGGATGCTTAAAAAACTGAAATTTATTTTGAACATTTAAATGTTCGTTTCTCATTTCTGATCCAAGTAACCTTTAAATAATCTTCTTTTACGAAAAAAAAAACTATAAGTGGTTTCTACTTACATAACATTGGCTTATAATATCAACTAGATCTTCTACACTGCTTCAATCAGTAGGTACATACCAACCAATGAAGATACCATTTGACTCTTGTACAAATCAGTCTAAATTATAAATAAATTATAAAAAAAGCTCTTACTTATCTGTGAAACATAAATTAAATAACATAAATTTACTAATCTAAATTAATTTCAGTCTTAGTAGAAATAGTTCCTATGTGAAAAATTTCTCAATTAAATCACAAGCAAATTACATTAAAACAATTTTAAATTATATAGGTATTTTTTACCTTTGTTCAATTTTATTACTTTTTGTAGAACATTATAATTAAAATCAAAGAAAAAAATAGTTAAATAATGAGCATATTCAGAACATTTTTGATACTAAACAGTTGATAATAAATGACCATGCTAGGCTTGATTAATGCGTCACTATTTTCTTAAAGCGAATGGCTTTTAGAGATTACCTGTTGGTCATATTTCGACCATTTAATTCTCTAGGCGTATAAATATTACAATTTCCAAATTCTTTTAGTATTAAAAAAATCTTTTGTTTAGTATCTATTGAAAAAGTTTAACGTTATCAATACAAACATTTTGAAGGATTGTCCTTAGACACTTCAGCATCCAAGTTCTCAGTGGTATTATTTGACCTCTAAGAGATGATCACCCACTGTTATAAATCAATGATAACATAAAAATGTAATAATAAATAATATGTTTTTAACAAGTGGCCTCATTTCCGACTCCCATACCAGGTTATATATCATATATATATATATATATATATATATATATATATAGACAGTGTCCCTGTATTGCACCCTAAATGACACTGTATTCTTTTGAAAATAATAGAGATTAGTAATAATTACCTTATATACATATGTTACATATGTAACTACAAGAGATCACTTTGGTTCTAACACTCATTTTAATGTTTAGTACTTAGTGGGTCCAGCAGCACTTCACTTTCAACGATTGCTTCCACCTGCAGGATCAAGTTCTCTCGACTCCTGTCCACGACTATATCTTCAACGACTTCCCCATTTTGTATATATATCACATTAGAACCCAAACTTTTATTACTTTTAGTCACACACTTCATGAACGCATGAATGGCAGGATTTTCTTCTGGCACTTCACAGTGAGAGTTTTGACTCTTATTTACTTTTTCATAATCCCTATTTTTGTCCATGCTCCGTTTAAACATTTCATCGGTGTCAAACGGAGTTTGGTATTCTAAAGCATCGTCTTCTGACTTTAGAATAACTTTTGATTGTTTTATTTCTAATTCCGTCATAGTCGGTAATGATTTAAAAAACATCTGCAATAAGCAAATAATTTATTACATATGGGTAATAAAGATTACAAGTTCTTAATTACATAATGAAAATTGACATCGAAGACACACAGTAGTGTCCGACAAATTCTGAAAATTGACGACTCATAACTTGAAATTTTGGCAGATGATGCTTTTTTTTATTGTAAGCACCCACTAAGAAAAGATTTTCGGAAATTTCACCCCTAAGGGGGTAAAATTAGGGCAGAACGGTTGTATAGGAGTTCATTTTCAAACTTAGAAGCACGAAATACTTACGCGAGCAAAACGCGGGAAATAGCTAGTAATTCATACAATAAAAGATTTTTTGTATGTTAAGTCTAAAGCAAGCATATCTAATATCATATCTTTAGTATCCTGATCGCCGAGCCAGAGGTCGTGGGTTCGATTCCGGTCGGTGCGGACGAAGGTCGTGTACTTTATCCATAATATTTAGAAATACATCAGCAGCTTATTTACCATAGTGTGTAAGATCTGTTTGATGAATTTTAGCAAAATAAATAATACAAACTTACCTTTCGAGTTATAATGGACATTCCATGTTCTCTTTTCATATGGGATTTAAGCAAAGACATACGGGGATATCTGAAAAAAAAAAGTATATTAAACTACAAAGTTATACATTGTAGAATATTATATTCTAATAACAGCTAAACCGCGCAACTTAGTTTATGTCTTGAGGGGTAGGGGTTGAAGGGTGTAATAACCCAGACCTAATCTCATACCCAAAACAAAAATCATTAAAATCGATTGAGCCGTTTCGGAGGTATACGAAATTTTCATAAATTAGATTTGATTTAATAATACATTATATGATTATTTCATAAAAATACACTTATATAGTTTTATATTGTATACTTTTACAGTACATCCTAGATTTTTACTTTTTCAGTCCAATCTAATAAAAAACTAATTAAAGGAATGAATATTACCTCTTAGGACATATTCGACAAGCGCAAGGTGGTGGCAGGTTCCGATGGACCCTGTTCACGTGGAGTCTGAGCGCTGACTTCTGGGCGAAACGACGGTTGCACTCCGTACACCCGTGTTTACGCATAGCTGGAAACGCAAACATTTACATATCACTAAGGTGACCATAACTAGATGGCAACTAATATCCCCATTCTGCCAAAAACATATACTTACGTTTGTGCGTATCCATGTGGGATACCAAAGCCGCTTTGATTTTGAAAGAACGATTACAATCATCGCAAATGAACTGCACATCCGTGTGTTTCATTGTATGGCGCTGAAGACATAACATTTAATTTAAGTAGCTACTCGTTAAATCGGCAAACGCACAGCACTTAGTTCAAACGAGGGCGTTTTGTTGGCCTTTGTAAAGAAGTAACTGAGATTTCCTACTAGCGTAACACGTGAAACATTCCTAGGTATCTTATTGTATTTATTCTGTATCATATATCATCATATTCTGTGTCAGAATATGTCATAAGAATGTCTCACGTGTAACATCTTTCCTCTTACATTCCTGCAATCTGTGGAATCAATTATATGAAAGGGGACGAAAGTGTGTAACAGGAAGCCGGGCAAGTGCGCGCCATGCTACGATTAGCCGTTAAATGACAGATGTTACACATGATATGAAACTACTGTAAGGCTCCCTTGTTGCTTTTGTCTATGCCTAAATTTAATAGAAAAGAGCATAATCTTTATCCTTTATCTATACTAATATTATAAAGCTGAAGAGTTTGTTTGTTTGTTTGTTTGTTTGTTTGTTTGAACGCGCTAATCTCAGGAACTACTGGTCCGATTTGAAAAATTCTTTCAGTGCTAGATAGCCCATTTATCGAGGAAGGCTATAGGCTATATATCATCACGCTAAGACCAATAGGAGCGGAGTACCAATGAAGAATGTTTCAAAAACGGAGAAAATTTATTACTATTGAGAGACGCAGACGAAGTTGCGCGGGTCAGCTAGTTTGTAATAATTGTATTATATTTTGTTATTTATCTCGTATTATGTTACATCTAAAATACAGTTGGCAATATTCATAGGGTTTCTGGGGGAAGCTGTTTCTGATATTAAAATTAAAAAAAAATAGTGATATGTAGGTACCGAGAGCGCGGAGTATGAGGTGTACGCGCAGGGGCAGGCGTGGCAGCGGTAGGGCCGCTCGCCACGGTGCAGGTTCTCGTGCGACTGCAGGTTGCGGCGCGTCATGAACACCGCCGAGCACAGCTGGCACGGGAACCTGACATACACACACTATTCTACTAGCATCCTATTATAATTGCCATTATGCTAGAATGCGTCATTATCGTTGACATGTCTTGAAAAAAAGAATTGTGGTATTCATAGCATAACTGTGCCAGGGTGCCAACTCCTCGATGAGGAACCCCTGTTCCACCACAAATTAGTCGAGTATCATAAACCTTTATTAAATAAGTACATAATATCTACCACATATGACATATTGATAGAGTAATCTGTGGTAATGTTTCTTCAGATCTGACCTTCAACCAGTGAAATGATCTGGATGTTCAATTATGTGTGATGTTTAATGGTAAGGTAAGTGAACCATCGATTCAGAAAATCAAAACATCTGTCTGATAATCAACTTACACATACAGTAAAGATTAAAATAAAGCGTACCTGATCTTATCAGGCTTAGCGGAGAGCGCGTGTAGTTGTAGATAGGGGCGGGAGCGTCCCTTGCGGCCCAGGCACTGAGCGCGCGCTCTCAGCACCACGCGAGCGTCTGGCGCCACGCAGCGCTTCTCGTGCTTGTACAGGTTGCTGGCGCTGCACACACCACGCGCTATACAAACCGGTTACACAAGAAGCACACTTACTACAACTATCATTAAAGAGGCTCTACCTCCTGAAGTCAACTCCGCATGCGTAACACACTAGATACCGTTGTCCGTGTTTTTCTTGGTAGTGTCTACTGGCGGCCGGTATAGTGTCTGTCAATCCACCACATATAATGCATCTGTAACACATATAAAGTAAATATATAACCTCACATACTAAACCTAGTACCTCAAGGAAAAGTTTAATAAAAATGTTACCTTTTTCTTTATATAATCAAACTTATTAGTACATCTCACAAGGCTCAACCATTTGCAAAAGGATAGGAGTATTATTTATTTATTACTTTTATAGTTTGTCTTTTTAATAAATTTACATTATTTCAGTGTCTAAGTCTAAGTTTGATCTATCTGATTTGTATAATATTTAAATATATGTATAAATTACTTTAAAATTATTGCTTTTACACAATTGTGAAGCAATCATATGAAATAATAATATACATTTACTAAAGATATAAAACTTGAAATCATTATACATTATTTGTAAAACAAGATAGATATACTAACTCGAACATAATCCCCGTCATTATATAATAATCTCTAGGAGGAGGTGGAGGTTTCGCACTACGCATTATTTGTTCCAAAGTGTTAATAAGCAGTTCCTCATCCTCTCGCAGTTCTGGGTACTCTTGTCTGAGTTCAGCAACAAAGGACTTCTGTTGCCATGGTTTGAGCATAGTAAAACGGTGTTTATCTGACTCCTGTTGCGCATCAGATTCCAGACTCATTCCAAACTCACCACAGCTGTTAGAATCTTCATTTCTATCATCATTGTATTCTGATTTTATTACACCCTAGAAGGAAACGCAAAGATCACATTGAAACAGTATTAATCTAAAAGACAATGAATGTGTAAAACTTAATTTAGGTACATTGGTCGCAAAAAAGACACCCAATGGGGCCAAAGAGTTCTCAAGTGGCGATCGCATATGAACATAATAATAATAATAACCCATCTAACACATGAACAGTCTGGTGCCAAACTATGTAGATCCTGTGCTATGGTAATGGTTGTATGATCATGCTCATCACACAACTATTTGTTCTGGGAGATATAGATAGAGCACGGGTAGGTGCAACGGCCTAGTGATGGTTGCGGGTACAGGTTTGATGTGGGCAGCACGGACCGGTTGTTGTTGCAGAGATTTCTGGCCCGTAGGGGACGTTTTGGGCTGAGATGATGATGATAAAAAAAGAAATGGTCTGAATCTAGCCAAATATTTATAAATGTATTGTATGATGTTACTTAAATATTTTTAAATGTTGTATCATCTTCTCAGGTAAGAGATGACTGTTCTTTGACATAGGATTTATCAGATACTCCCAGATGTTAATGAATAAGATATCGTATAAGATACATACCAAAGTTATACTACAATGTACAATGTACTTTATAAAACTATTTTTTACCTGCAATACTTCATCTTCAAGATAATCACACTCATAGTTCTCTGGATAGTCTGGATCTGAAGGTTCGGTCTTCACAGGAATGTATTCACCAAGCTCTTCTGCAGTTTTAATGAGATCACCCACTTCCAGAGACTCTTCCGGAGAATACTCTGGTTCAATTTTGATTTCAGACTCGGTAATAATTGTTGATTTCTCCTCATCGTCATCAACCACAACCAAAACAATCATATCGTCTTCGACATCCATTTTCACACTTTTAACAATATTATAAATAATTATATATAACTAAGCTAATGTACTGTAATAACTATTATATTACACTTCTGTATTTATTATTTTCAAATAAATTTGACAACTACAAGGACCGCCATATTTTTTTTTTTCCCAAAGTAAAGCTAAACATGGCAAAGGATCAAAATTATCAGACCTACTTACACTCAAGTTAACAAAAATCTTTACAAACTGCTAAATAGTTTCAAATTCTAGTTCCATATTTAGTACTTAAATACTGAAATAATGTGTTCTATTCATCAGTTATATTAAGAATCTACGAAACTCCACTTTTCCTTGATTTCCTTTGCCTAATTGATTAGTAAGCCAGATTAAAAAATTGGTTTCATAAAAATTTTCATCATATAAGAAGGTGATAAATGCTTAAATTATCTTATGAAAGAGCTTAACTAACAAAAATATATTTCTTATAAATAAGGAATATAGTTCTGTTTCACAAAATCATCAATTCGAAAACCGTATAAAAGTTATTATTATGTCCTCCGAAAACAGTAATTTTCTCTGAACATTTTTTTGTGGTATAGGAGGCAAACGAAGGTCTCCATATATTTTTAAATACTGCACACTGATACCAAATTATTATTTACATTCCCCCACACCGGTATTTTTAACAGTTGGAAATAGTTTCAAACAGTTCTGTAGTAAAAGGTCATCAAATATTTTGTTGAGAATTCACAATCAATCTAAAACAGTATCTGCTTTGGAAAGTTGAATACATTTGGTACATCCATCCTTCATCATCCTTCCGAGACATCCCTGCGCACAACGAGAAGAAGCACGGCAACGGGGTAGGAAGCCCCGCGGATCAACCGTTGGCTCATAGATATTTTTTTCATGGAATACCTAGTGATAAACCGACCGATTTACAAGATCAAGAAATTAAAACTTTTTACGTAGCATGATGACTTTTGTATTAGCTCATATAGTGTTTCTAATTCTTTTTTTTTATGTTAGAGGGGCAGACAAGCAGAATGATTTCTTTTTTGAAATTATTTTTTCTGAACATTTTAGATGCTAAAAACATTGTTCTGCAATGTCACATTTCTTTTAGGCCTCGTCCTCACAGCGATATTTTAAGTGGAAATATATTTACTAGACTTGCAACGAATATTCGGTTACTATTCGGTATTCGGCCTATTCGGCTGCTTTTATTATATTCGGCCGAATACCGAATATCTACATATTATTCGGCCGAATACCGAATACTTAAATAATATATTTTGTCATTGAGAAATAATTGGTAAAATGAAAAATTAAAATCGATTGATTACATATATATTCATATTTTCATTTCTGTTATAATCATTTAAGTAGTCATTGGTACATAACACAGCTACATAATCATCTTCTGAATAGGAAAAATGGAGGATTCTATGTATTTGAATTATTGTGGTAATCAACATTTAGAAGGGTAAGGTTCTCATTTCTTTTATAATCATTTATTAAGTAGTCATTGGTACATAAAACAGGTACATAATTTAATTCACGTCTGTACAAGTTTTTGGCGCTAAAATCCAGCCGAATACTTTTGCCTAATATTCGGCTATTCGGTCAGGGGCCTCGCCGAATATTCGGTATTCGGTATACTGCCGAATATACTATTCGTTGCAAGTCTAATATTTACTGTTTACTGTTACTGTGGTAATATATATGCGTATGGTACGGATAGTAATGTATAGATCCCATGTGACACAGAATTTTGCGAAACAAAAATATCGCTGTGCGGACGGGGCCTTAATTGCTCCACACCAGACGTTTCTAAATGTTTACAAATGTTTGTGAATACCGGGTGGGAGCACCTTTCGGTTCTTTCCTACTTTCGGTTTTATTTTTTTATATATAATATAGGAGCTAAACCAGCAGACATATGTCTTTTTATTTTACTTCGACATAAGTATCAGTATTTCTCTAAGATAAAGTTATCTTAGGTATTTCTATCGACTTTCCTTTTGGTAATTCCAGCTGTACAGATAATGTAAGTCTGTGTCTCTGGTCTAGAACTTTGTCCAAAACAGGAAGTTAAAAGACTAGTTTTCTATGCTTTAATTTATGATTGACATGACATATTTTTTGACAGGAATAGGACTGAAAAATTGTCAAAACATTAAACATCTTGTTTCAGCAGAATATTAAAGTACAAGTAAAGTAAATCAGGACAACTGTTTTCCTAAACTCAGCCTTTTTCAGTGCTACCGTTTAAGAACAAGTTATATATTAATTTGTATGAGCAACGAAGAAAGGTGTTTAATTAAGTTGGGAACGAGTAAATTATTTGGCGCTAAATGACTTTACGATACCTATTGTAAGACATTATGATTACAAATACAATAACAAATTCCTTTGCTCCGATGCTTTCCAATAATAGTAAAATAATAGCTCTGGAAACAACTTTGCAACAGAGTTTATTGGACTTTAAAGGTATGGAAATAAATAATTTATGTTTAGTTTATTATTCGATTTTTGCCTGTAGAGCCCTGGAAGTGAAGAACACTTATCCCAAATATTACTAATGAATGCCGAAATATGTCTTTATCATTTTATTTTATGCATTTATGGCTCCTGAGTTGCAAAAGTACATATGCAGCGATAGTCACTTTACATCTGATGACTCGTCTACTCTGCCCCTATCCATACAAATAAATAAAATTGAAGTGTCTGTTTGTAATGTCAAATTAATAGGTTTTTCATGCTTACACAGTTATTTGCATCATAAGTATGCCTAAAAACTAGTTTAATTTTATTTTTGTCTGTCTGTCTGTTTGTTATTATTAGGGCAAAACTTTAAAGGGTTTTTCTGAGGGGAAAAAAAGCCTCAGTTACTCCTCATTTAGACAGCTACCTGGTAGTAAAATATTATCAAAATCGGTGCAGCCGGCTTTACTGATTTTGATAATATTTAGTAGTAATTTAGTAGTAACTTTTTCCTCTCAGAAAAACCCTTTAAAGTTTTGCCCTATCCTCGAACCAAACCCACTAAGCCAGCACTTTTCGGATTCCACACAAACGAAGTCACGGGTACCAGCTAGTACCATAAAAAAGAAACATCTAGTGCAAGTATATGGTAGCTACAAGTAATTTAAATAAAATCATTTATTGTTTTTCTATATTAATATATCTTAATATATGTATATTTCAAACCATTAACTTGAAAATATAATTTATTTTCAGAGCTTCTAATAGATTTAGAACAAATGCAAATAAATCTTGACATTTGTAAGACACAGTATATTGAATTAAAAGAAAAATGTGAAAGGTAAGGCAATTGAAATAAAACAAAAGACAAAGAAAAATTAATAATATATTTTTGTCATTATTTAACTTATAATACATAATTTAGATTATTCTAGAAATAAATTAGTTTTTTTTTTAATAATGATTAATATTTAATAATTTATTTAATTTTTAATTATTTAATAATAAAATAAGATGTTTTGAAAACTAGCCAGAGGTGCTGGGTTAAAATCCCATCCAGGAAAATAACTATGTGAAATAAACTCTAAAACTAATTTTCTCAGCAATGTGATTAATTTAGTATGGGCTCTACCTCATTTGGTATCTTTTGTTTCTTTTTTTTTTGTTTTTCTTTCTTTCTTTGTATCTGAGGGAGGGCCATGTGTGAGATGTCACTTTTTTTTTAGGGTGGTTAAAATCCTTATTTTTGGATCAAACAGGGAATAGATATTGCAATATCTAATAATTATGTACAATATTATGAAAATAATGAATATAAAATATTAATAAAGTTATATTATAGTAGGCTTAAACCTCCGTTCTAAGGAGAGGCCTATATCCAGCAGTGGACCGTTATAGGCTGTTGATGGTAAGGACCCAAAGTTATGATTTTACTTTATATTACAGTAAGACTTGTTGTGGCGCTGAAGAAACACAAAAAGTTATACAATCAATTAGTAAGTAATTTTTTTACTGGTATTATTTTTATTTTGAAAAAGACTATAATATAGAAAAGAAATTTACCAAATCTAAAATGCAATAAAGGTCTAATAACATTGGTAATCTATAAATCCTATAAAAAAATTAGATAACTTTTTTATAAAACACACAGAACTACTTTGTATTGAAATTTTTCGTTTTTAAATAAAAAGAATACAAAGATCTGGTTCAAATTACTTTTATATCATTTGTAGTGTTTGTAAGTATTATTTAATAAATTGAACATTATAGTTTAACATAAATTAAATTGTCAGGATCAGCTTTAACAATATTGAGTGAAACAAAAAATCTTGACATATTAAATGAAATATTCAAAATATTATTTGGTGAGAGTACAACACTATCCTATCCAACAAGTACAAAGGAAAATCCAGAAATAAAAAAACAACTTCTTACACCAAAAAAAGAACTACATTCCTCAAATGAGGATTTGTCTATTCGAGATGAGTCTGTATCTGAAATTGAGGGTACACCAACAGGACGTCATAGTCCTATAATACAGACAAAAAAGTTAAAAAACTCTATGGTTACAACATTCGATAGAGAAAAGAAAAAATGTCCAGATTCTTGGTGAGTAAATTTTTTTGCAACTTTATAACTATATAACTCCTTAGTTGACTAACTAGAAGAGAGTGGGCTATTCAGTTGTATGTCTCGTCACCTTTGCAACAAAAACTTATTTTTTAAATTGAACAGGCGAGTCTGAATTTAAAATAGTGTATTTAGTATTCATAAAACATTATCGTATATTGAAGATATTATTTATGAAAACTAATAAAGAATTAACTTTTTTAATGGATAAAATATTTAAAATCTTATAAAAAAAAATTGCAGGCCTACCCCAGAAAAAAAAACTTTGAAATTGATCTACCCAACACCATCTCGGAGCAAACAGAATAGCAGTTTGAGGCAGGCTCGGCTGAACTTTGTTAAAACAAAGTCTAGCAATATCATAGACATCACTTGTTCACCTGAGTTTGGTGGTGGGAGTAGAAATACTAAAAGCGAGACAGATTGTAATGTCCAGGTAAGGAAACATATGATTAAACCTAACGACGACGTTTTATTTTACGGTATAGGGAAGAAGCGATTAGATCACTAACCTGATGGTAAGTGAACACCACCACCCATGAACACCTGCAGCACAATGGCCTGGCCACGGAACATTCGCAGTAGCGATAATTCGGTGCGAACGGCGGGGCCTATAGCGACTCACACCTATATATGGAAAAGTACTGGGTATGCCTTGCGTAGGTGCGATTCGCGGCGATCGGCGAACCTTGCAGAGCGAATCGTAAAAGTTACAAGTACGCTCTTCTTCTTCATCGTATCATCTTCTACGATGCAACTGGGGGGCACAGTGGACAAAAAAGTGAATGTAGCATTAGGTGTAGGTTAGCATTGGAGAGCCACATTCACAGCCCGTTTTCGACTGGTCTATGTAGCCCCAATTTGCCATGTTGCTCTTGCAACGACCGATGATCTCCATGACGATGCCATTGCAGTCGATGTCCGCTGCCGCCCGTTCATTCTTCTCTTCACTTACACAAGGCCGTCTGATCCCAAACTAGGCAGAGCCTGTACTATGGTAACCAGACTACTGATAAACATACATATATACACACATGGTAAATGAATTTCACCCAGACGCAGAACAAATGACCGTGCTCATCACACAATATTTGTCCTGGGTGGGAATCGAACCCACGACCTCTGGCTTAGCAGTCAGGGTCACTAACCACTAGGCCAACTGGCCAGTCGTTATTTGCTATTGCTACCTAAAATTAACATCACTACTTTCATTCATTTGACTCTTTCTGTACCCAACGCTCTCTCTCCTCTCCTCTCCTGTGTGCTTGCGACTGTGATTAGTTTTCGGATGGATGGCCGATTATACGAGGGGTGATCAATAAGTAATGATAATCAATATGAAACAGAACTATTAGATTAAAAAAAGTATTTTATTTTTCAACATAGTCTCCTTGCAAGTTAATACATTTAGTGTATCTTTTATTCTAAGCCCATGATTCCCTTAGAAAAAAATTCCTGCGTAGTAAGAGCCTGTTATAGTGGCCCCCTTTTCCAAATATTCCACCATAATAATTCCTTCTGCATCCCAGAAAACAGACGCCATAACCTTTCCCGCTGAACTTGACACTTTGAATTTCTTCGGCGTTGGTGAGGAAGCTCGTTTCCAAGTCATTGATTGTTGTTTGGTTTCGGGATCAAAGTGGTGGATCCAGGTCTCGTCCATGGTCACAAAACGCGACAAAAAAAATTCTTTATCGGCCTGGAACTTTTGAAGATTCACCCTCGAAATGTCGACTCGTTTCTTTTTTTGCTCGTCGGTTAACATTCTCGGTACCCAACGCGCAGAGACCTTTTTCATATGCATTTTGTTGACAATGATTTTTTGAACGCTGCCATAGGAGATCCCTGTGACCTCAGCTACATGCCTTACGGTCACCCTTCGATCGGCCAACACGATATCTTCCACTTTTTTGACGTTTTCTCCAGTAAGGGACGTGGAAGGGCGTCCCTCGCGATGTTCATCTTCAGTGGAGGTTCTGCCCAGCTTAAATTCCTTTGCCCAGCGTGCGACTGTGGAATATGGAGGAGCAGACTCCCCCAATGTTTCCTCTAAGTCGCTGTGTATGTCTTTGGTAGACATTTTTTTCAGGCAGAGGTACTTGATGACAGCTCTTATTTCATTTTTCTCCATTTTGATGTTTTCTCTTCGACAGTTCGTATTCAAATGAATGTATCTCCCGGTAATGGTGTCCTATTTATACATTTTTTTGAAGCTGAAGTAGTGGATATATAAGCAAGCAGAAAAAAAATAATTTGGGTTTTTGTGCGTTCTAGAAATACTCGATTATCATTACTTATTGATCACCCCTCGTATTGTTACTTCTGTGCTTGCAATTCTGTGAGCAGGAGGGATGATTTTTGTTTTGATTTATATTTTGTTTGTTTTTTTCTTTTGTCTTTCATTATTGTAATTGGCAAAACCGTTATAATTACAGTAAATTTATAAATAAATCAATAACGTCAAACGTTACAAAAATATCATAATAAATAGTCTGTTTGGTCTCCCATTAGCGACAAGACTGAGACTACAGCATCCCGTTTTTCTCATACTAGTTGAAGGTAACGCAGGACCATAATTATATCGATTTCAAAACTTCTGAATTTATTTACGTTGCCAATATCATGTAATTTTGTTTTTCCATATTATAATTATTTTTATGCCTATGTCCAGCAGTGGACTTTCAAAACTTCTGAATTTATTTACGTTGCCAATATCATGTAATTTTGTTTTTCCATATTATAATTATTTTTTTTGCCTATGTCTATGTCTATGTGCCTATGATGATGATGATGATAATTATTTTTATAGTAAAGGTGTCTACATACTTTGATTGATTGATTTGATTGCAGCCACTGATTAAGAAGGAATCTATAGAGAACGACGACACCATTTTGCCCTCGCCCACTAGTGGACCAACCAATTTTACACTGTAAGTCATTTAGTTGCATAATTTCAAACTATTGTTTATTAGTTATACTAATTATTTTACTGATGTTAAAAATATATTTTATATTGTTCATAGATTCAAATCTCCAATGAAATTCAAGAAACCACAGTTAAGTTTAAAAACTAAAACGGAAAATATAATTAAAAAGGTTGATCCAGATTCTGAAAAAATAATAATTAAAACGGAACGAAAATGTCCCGATAGTAATATTACTAGGAAATGGATGGAAAATGGTATGAAATCAAACAATAGTGCAACCTTTACACAAGAAGATTCTATAAATATTCTACATCCCGACAGGTAACTTTGTTCTAGAACTGTCTATTTTGTAGGATATAGGTGGCAAAATAGTATACAGGTCATCATATAGTAAGTTGACACCTTCACCCAAAGAGAGTGGTGGTAACGCATTTGCCTTTTATTTTTTACTAGCTTCTGCCCACGAATCAAGCCCACTAAGGCAGCATTTTTTTAATCTTCTCATTCTCTCGCCGACTTAATCCTAAACATTTATGTGTTTGTTTCTTTATCTTGACTATTCGTGAAGAATTTTCGTTTCATCGAGTTTCAAACCACAACGATTTTAAAGAAGTTTCACTCAATTTTTTTTTAATTATTTCGTAGATTGCCTAACAACTTAAAAAAAAATTCACCAGTTGAACGAGAAAATAATGAGACCACGTTTTGTAATACACAGTCAAGTATATCATTATTGGAGGATATAAACGAGTTGGATGATATTCATAGAGAGGACAAATTACCAAGGTAAGGTATCCAGTTTTGTCTGCTAGTCTGTTTGTAATACAAATTATGAGCTAGTATAATAAATAAACCTTCTTTCTAAGAAGAGGCCTATGCCCAGCAGTGGACTGTAATAGGCTGTTAATATTAAAATAAATAAATGATAATAACTAATTAAAGTCTTTATATAAGATTATACAGAACGTAAGGGACGTCGTAACGAATACTGAAATAGTGTATTATATCCAAATCATTGGAATTTTCTGCTGGAAAATTATCTATTTTACTCAATATATATATATATATATATATATATTATAAATTATCAACTTTTATACAATCAACTGTTAAAGCTTAAGGTCATTCCCTGTAGGTATCGCACAAAAGTAATAACTACATGTGTATTACGTGCAAACAAACTACGCATACTAACACAAGTTGGTGGTCGTAGGGGATGCCCCGCGATGATTAATTACATTTATTTAATTGTTTATAATATTCTGTTTACTCATTTTAATATCATTTTTAAACCAAAAATGGCAAATATTAAAAAATAAAATTGATAATTTTCCTGCAGAGAATTCCAATGATTTTCGACGCAGAATCATGGTCTGAATACACTATTTCAGTATTCTTTACGACATCCCTTACACCCTGTATAGGTACCTATACAGGGTGTAAGGGATGTCGTAAGTTGAAACTGCCATTTACCTAAATGGCAGTTTCAAATTTGGATTTTCGGTGGTGTTAGAAAGAAATATACGTATTCATTAGATATGTATAAACTTAAAGCTAAGGTGTGCACAGCATCAGTGTACGAGACACCGTTTAATGTTGATAGAAAAATGATATGTTAGTTGATAATATGAGTCAAATGTGTAACAAGACTTTTGCCCGACACAGTAGCAAACGTCTAACAAAAAGCGAAAGGAACTACGTTCCGACTGGAGTCCATAGACCCTCAACGCGGTTTTTGTTTGATATAAATGATCTAAGAGGCTGTCCTGACATTTGAATTACTGAGGATGTTATTTGCTATGATAGAACATAATGTGAACGAATCGTTGGCCTTTGCATACTACCTTCTCTTAATAAGGGTAGATCAAACATAAAGATTATTTATTAGCGCCTAGTTCTGTTTATTTCTCGCGAATTGTATTTTAGTTTATGTAATCAATCATCATCCCCTTATAGTCCAGTCATTATAGTAAGTTCACCTCGGAATTCGAGATACCCACCTGTAAGTCTGTAAATACTTGTATATTGACACCCTAAAAGTTGTCTCAAAACCTACATAATGGTAGGTAAGCAACTATTAATTTTCAAGGTCAAAAGTCACAAAAATCGGTTTATTGCGCTTTTTTTGGAAATATCTCATTTCCTATGGGTTTCTGCTATTTGTATTTATTATCAATATTGTAGAATACAAAATTCTCTACAAATTTTGATTAAAGAGATTCTTACCTAATTTAAGCTTAAATGACTGGACTATTATCGCAGTCCACTGCTCGACAGGGCTCGCCACTCAGATCGATTTTTGGCTTCTTGCATCCAGCTCCTGCCAGCAATCTTGCGCAAATCGCAATATTAATATTAAAACAAAACTCAACAACACTAACTTTTACTTGCAAATATCAACACTTAATGGATCATTATGAAGTTCTAATTATTTTATATTGCGTTTCTTTAATGTGAAGAAAGTTCCAAATAGAAGATTCTTAATGATTTAGTAATGGAGTGTTATTGTTTCAGTTCTGCAAAACGCCCTCTCGCGGAAAATATAAACATCATGAACATACCAGATGATGACGAATTACAGCCCAGCATATCGGTGTTACAACGCGATGCAAAAATGAGCAGATTGGCCGTGGACAATGTAAAAATGTAAGCTCTTTAATATTTGAAAAAGCACTGCAAAGTATGGACATGCCATGCGGAGGGATGAGGAAAATGTGCGAAGAAAGTGTTAGGTATGGAGTGGAAGGGAACAAGCGGCGAGGAAGACCAAAGAAAAGGTGAATGGACTGTGTGAGTGAGGATATGGCTAGGAAGAGAGTAAATAGTGAAATGATGAATGATAGAGTAGAATGGAAGAATCATACATACTGCACCGACCCTAAATAAAATTGGGATAAGAGTAGTCAGATGATGACGTAGCTTATATCTGTAGTTCGGGTGTGAGCCGAAGTATGAAAAGAGGTGAGAGCTAGCTAGCTGATAGTGTGGCCTGCGCTTTAGCAATAGTAATCCTCTCAACGCCTCTTTATGTAAACGTAAGATTTTTTACACAACATCTTACAAAGAAATCTCATTTCTATTCATCATACTCAGTTAATAAGGTAATATTTCGTCGAAATGAAAAGTGACCTAAGCTAATATTTCGTCGGTTAACATTACATGTTAATTTGAAAAAAGACACATACTGTAGGGCTAGCGCTGTACTTGTGTAAAAATGTCAAAAATGCAATTGCATAATTAGATGATCCGCAATATGACGAATTGAGTTACTAAGAAACCCCTATGTCCAAGGGGTTTAGTCTTCTCTTAGTTTAATGCAGGGATTCCCAAAGTGGTCGATATCGACCCCTTGAGTACAAAATCGGTTTACCTGGGGTCTAAAAAAAATGAACACTGGTTTTGGGGATCGACGAGGTCTAAAAATCGACCCCATTTTAATTAATACAAGTTTTCATTTCAAACTTTCAAGATACTGTATTAGTTGTGTTACGTGTAGGATGACTAATTATTTTAGTAGGAAGTATCATTGTTGTACTTTACACAAGTAACAGTAAACAGTAGTTCGCCTATGGGGGTCTGAGGTATCAGTTCATTTTAGAAAAGGGGTCTCTTGCCCAAAATAGTTTGGGAATCTCTGGTATAATGGATAATACAATTTATTTCTTACAGTAAAATAGCAGCACTAGGCCCAGGTGACGAAGGGCCCGCTCCTAGAACGAGAGCCGAAAAACGTTCGCTACCTGGCTGGGCTTGCAGGGAGTGTATAGAGGTTAGTAAAAAAATGTCTCATTTAATATTAAATAAAATAAAATCATACATTTTTTTAAACGTAGATAAATACGTTTGAAAGTGAAGAGGTAAGAGATATTTAATACGTCATTGTTTAAAGGTAGATGTGACATCAGAACAAAATGCTCTTATCGTAGCCGATCCTTTTATTTTAACACATCCCATACACGCCTGTTTGATCCCAAACTAGGCAGAGCCTCCATAACCAGACTGCTGATAAACATATTATCACGATACACGTAATTAATTAATTAATACTTTTCATGGGAAAAATATAATCATTTAAATTAAAAAGAAATCTCAAAGAAAGAAAAGAAATGGAGAATTATTTTAATGAATTTTTGTAATGAACTTTGTATGTTTATAATTACTTTTAAGTAGAAAGAGTAATTGCAAAAACTTAATTTGTATTACTATATTTATTACATTTCCCGAACATTTATAGAAACTAAAGTTTTTTACACATTTATTACTACAATTCTTTATCAATAATAATATATTCTACCATTCTAATAATGCCTACTCAAGTCCACTTAAATCTAAGTGATATATTTTTATTGCTATTGTTTTTCGTTTACACAAATTAAAATGTATTCTAATGTAGTTGTTCAACTTTATTGATGTACATAATGTATGAGGAAGCGGATGAGGTCACTGACCCCGTGTGAAACACGTCAGCTGATTTCAATCACTTAAATTTTAAAGTACATTCACATTCTTTTTAATGTAAGTCACAAGACCTTGCTGAAAAACGATTTAACATGCGTTTTTATTCGAATAAATTCATAATTTGTATTCGCAATGCTTGTCCTGTGAAAATCTTGTTAAATCTTAGAGTTTTAAGTAATATTTTGCTGTTACAAGGGACGGAAGTCCCGTAACACATTATGAGAAACCAACCAAAGTTTAATTCATCACCAAACAATCATGCAAACGGTGATGATAAGTTCAAAACTTTTTTGTAGTTCTTCAGCGAGCTTCACAAAGACGATCCAGATATGATGTTGAAGAAAATCAACGAGTGCTCCCATCATCGCGGCGTGACCAATCCAGAACGGCCGAAGACACCTCCAGGCTATTGGAACCCCAGATGGAATGTTCCAGACGACACGGAGGAGTTTAACAGGAAGAATAACGTTTAAATGTTGTATTAAACAGCATTGCGGTACATTAGTACTGTTTATCTGTTCCGTTTACATTTTGGTTAAAATACAACTTTATTGATATGACTTACCTCACAATATGACATAAAATGTCAAATGCGTAGATCTAGATATACTGTCGAAGCTGTGAAAGCGTTGAAAAAAATTGAAGCCAACTGTTGGCCACTATGCACACACACTAATAAAGAACAATGACGTTTCGCGAGTGTAAAACACACGCTGTTACGCACACCAGCATAACGAACTTGGTCCGTTTGCTTCAGTTGTTTTGTAATGCGACACTCCATCTAGAAAATATATATTTTTTAAACTAATATTTTATACGTCTGTGATAATGTGCCTTATTTGTTAGATGTTATATATAGTATAATTTATGCTACAAATAAGTTTACATAGATGTCAATAGAACAGTTGTTTCACAGACATATTAATTACATGTTCTATCCATACTATACTATCATAAATGCGAAAGTGTGTCTGTCTGTCTGTTTGTTAACTCTTCACGCTTAAACCGCTGAAACGATTTTGATGTCATTTTTTGAGTGTGTTCAAGTGGATTCGAGAACGGTTTAGATTTTCAATCCGGTATTATCTTGAAAATGGTTAGGTTTGAGACATGGTATTTCATAGTTAAATCTATCAGAAATTATGGCAACTCAACTCCTTGAAGTATTTAGGTCGACTTACCGAGTAACCCTGTATAATCTAGATACTACTGTGTAAGAAATAGATAGTGTAATATAATAGATATAATAGATCAATGGAAGTTTCTTAAAGTTCTCGAAAGTTCCATAAAGTCCTCGTCCGTCCTAGTGCGGACGTTGACATTATCTCGTTACTTGGATCACGCCAAATGATAATGGGCAGCTGAGTTCGGTGATGACGTCATGTAACGGCAAATACCAACGACTTGTAAACTAATTGCATTTGACTATATGGATTTGGAAAATTTTGTAAGATATGTTCTGTATCTGTTCTTTTATTTTGAGCTCTTCTATTTTTAATTAACGGATGAATGAATAATTGGAAAATGTTTGCAAAGAATCTTATCTCTGATCTAGGAAGATAATGATTGCAATAATTTGACATGTATAAACAAAGCTCATTTAATTCACTAAGTGTTAATATTATCTTAGCTATTTAATTGTAGTTTTTAATACAAATATACCTGATAATTTTTCGTAGGGATCTTTTGTACTGTAAAATGTAAATTATTTATAAAAAAAGGAAAATGATTGTAAAGTAAATATCTATATTTTCTTATAAATAATAAAGATATGGAAAAACCACAGTATATTTATTTAAATACTTTCCGTTTGAATAGCTACCGTATGTTATTTCTTCACGCTGAAAAGACTGGATGAGTTTGAATAAAATTAGGAACACCAATAGATCGTGTTTTTAAGAGGCACCAAGAGTTCATAATAAGGCAAACTGCACTTTTCAATGGTAAGTAGAATATACAAACATAGGCATAAGGCTAATAAGGTCATAAGTGACCTCAAACGTGAAGTGAATTCCTTACAGAGTAAACAGTCAATGCTAACTACTCCTATAGAATAAGGTCACTAAAGTACTACAAGCGACGTCAGAATGCATATTTATCATTATTTACTTGCAAAATCACATATAGGGTCTAAACTGGCATCTGTGCTGTGGTCAGCTGATATCCCTGCTCTAGTGCCCTATCTCCCCAAACTTTCAGTTTCTGACCCACTACCCAAGCAATTTTGGCCATGCGGCGAAAATCTCGGGCACGCCTCTAGCCTTTCAAAATTAATTATTATGAATAACAGTTATTATTAAGTACATTTAACTTATTTCTTAATATCTAAAGACAATTTGAGCTTTGAAGCTGCCTTCTTTGAATTAGATATAAATGATGTATTTAGAGATGAATAAATTTGTTTCAATTCATGACTTTTTAAATAAGTAACACTTTATTTGTAAATTCAAAATAAAACATGAGAATTTCACCTGTAAGTTTTGTTAAAATTTCAACTTGTGTATGCAGTTTCACAAGTCGGTCAACTATTATAAGAAGTGCACTCAATTCTAACCATGTGTGTGTGTTGTGAATCAGAGTACTGTTTGCCAACATGTTAAAATAACATGACTTGCTAAATACATATGTGGGTGGCAAGGTGAAAGAAACAATTATTTGGAGAACACCTTTTATTTATCTCAATAAAACAGAATATTATAATTTTTTTACTAGTTTTTGTTAAATAAAAGGAAATGTAAAATCAAATTAAGGATTAGTATATTTTAAAAAGTGTTAACTTTCAAAGAGATTTGTGATTCATAGACACAATTAACTTTTTATCTAGCATGTCTGGTACTGGGGTTACAGCAGTTCCCCATTTTCTAGACTGTTTTTGTTTTTTTCTTTAATATTTTCTGTAATTATCTATGTCACTTACAACATTGTGGTACAAATAATGCAATTATGAATTCATTCAAAAAATAGTTTCATTTGCAAATTGTTAAACTGAAAATTTATGGTTACTTTGATATACATCATTGTTTTAATGCTACAACAAAATTTACACAAGTCTATGAGAGTTTCTTAGCTTTCTGGTAGAGAGTGTCAACTACCTTACTCATGTGGTGTATTGTCTCTAGGACTGTCTCGTAGGTTTTCTCAAGAGGGGACTCATCAAACACAATAAGTACACCTTCACCCTGGTCAAGGATACCATTGAGCTTCTTGTCCAGAATCATCTGAGACAGTTTCTTCTCCACTTGAACTACTGGGAGACGGATACAACGGGCTACATGGTCGACCTGCACTCGCATGTAGGGTTCAACTATACGACACAAATTTTGTTCTAACATAGTGTCATACAAAGCACCAAGGTGAGCTCTTACAACTGCATCTTCTTCAAGTTCTCGTTTATATGTTTTCAATGCTGCTTGGAAATCAGCAAGTGATCTTTTGTGGGAAGCTGTTGCAACAGCTCGCATTGCTTCTAGTTCTTTCCCTGCATACTTTAGAGCAGTCTTACTGCTGCAAACTGATCCAACTTCTTCAGCATTATTTAGCATAATTTTGGACAACAACATATATTTCAAGGCAGTCAAAGCTTTTGGGCTGTCTGCTCCATCGTAACCTTCAAATGCCTCATAGAAATATGAATAAGCAGTTTTGAAGTCACGCTCATCAGCTGCATGCAGGATTCCAGATTGTAGATCAAGTGCAGCTTGCATTTTGGGTGGACAGTAGATGGCATTGGCAGTAGTTCTAGCAGACGTCAATGAGGCACGGGCCTTAGGTAGATTGCTAAGTGCATGATAAGTTTTACTTTCTAAAAGAAGTACTTCTACCAGTAGATTTTTATCATCTAACTTTTTAAGTTCTTTGAGCAGAGCCGTCGCTAAGTCTAGGGCTTCCGTGTACATACCAGTGTCGAAGTACAAAGCGATCAGTCTCGCTTCGAGGGACTGTCGCAAGAATGTACGCCGCTCCTCTTTGGCCCATTCTATACATTCTTTACACAATTGCACTTCAATACCAATTCCTGCTTCTAAATCAAGGAAGAAATCGACGAGAGAACGCACCAATTTCGCCGCCTTCGCCTTGCTTATCAGACTAAGGAACGGTCTAGTAGCTTTAATTAGTTCAGCTAGTTCTTTAGCTTTGCCCTCCTTCTTGTATTTTTCTCCAAGGTTTAGGATACCCTGTTCCTTAGCCCGTATATTTTCTTCATCATCTTCAGGCACCTCGCCAGTGCTAACCATTTTGTCGCTCATACGGACGTCCTCCTCTCTGCTCGACGACGAGACGCGTGATCTCTCGAATAACATCGCTCCAGCCATGATGTGTATATTTATATGCTTACACTAAAAAACGTAGATAAACAGTAAAATAGCACTAGAACGGTCACACTTTTCCTTTGTAATTTTGTATAATCGCAAAGTCATCGACGACCTCCTCAGAAACAAATCGTAGACGCGTACAGTGTTGCTAGGACTTTTTTCTGGCTATTACTAATTTCAGTAGAAAATGAATGATTTAAGTTCGGGTACAAGGTTAACATTGTAGCGATATTAAAAATAATTATTTTAAGAAATTTGTATTCGAAAATAGTCAACTTCAGTAGTTACAAGGATAAAAAGTTTTACGCACCTTGTGAAAGTATTAGCTTTCTGCACATCTTTCACAGGCAAAAGGGCAAATTCATTGAGAACTACGCTCGTGATTTCCCTATTTTATTAAAAATTAATAAAATTACAGTGGAACGGTTCCATAAAGCCTTAAATCAAAGTTAGTAGTTTATAGTTGTCAACCCAGCAGATTAGCTAGAGTTGTTTCTAAATCATTTATCTGATCTGATAATATCTAAAATTAATTGTGTTTCACTGTTGCCCTGAAGGCCAATTCTCAAAATAACAGTCTCAATTCCACTTTCGATCTCACAACTGTCATAAAAGGGTTTTTTTTATAGTAAAATAGTAAAGTATTACTAAGACTAGCAGATTACTGATTCAATTTCAGTTCAATACAATATAATCATATTACAGTCAACGTTGGATGTTTGCTTTACTACGAAAATACCTTTTATGACACTTGTGAGATCGACAGTAGATCGGAACTGAATTGAGGCCGAACTTTTATTACGAGAATTTGTTTTCTTTTTTTTCTTTTTTTTGTGTGTCATTCTGTGACTAAACATTACTATTATGATAAGTTTAGAGTTCATTAAAATTTTATAATAAATATTAGTGTTCTTTGCAGTAAATCCCTTACGAACTACTTTCGAGAGCAAATTTTTTGCATACCTTGATTTAATAATAATAAGGTACCCGGATGATGTTTGGGGAGGAACACGAAAAGGTTACCGTAAAACTGATGTCCACTTGTGTGGATTGACCACCAGCTTATTATTCAGCACAATATAAAAGAAATCTATATATTTTAAATATAATTAATTGCCAAGAAGGTTGAAACAATTTTTATCTCTGATCTCTTAGGATATCTCTATCTTCTAAATATATATAAGAAGAATCTTACAGACTGTTCCCTATTCCACAAAAAAAAGACCGATTCACTGACTGATCGATCAACGCACAGCTGAAACCGATGGGTCTAGAAACACGAAATTTTGTAGGTACAAATGTTCCTTAGGTGACGTAGGTGTGCAATTCATTTAAAAGCAAAGCATTTAAAAACATTCCAACCTTAAGGGTGCAAAATGGGGGTTGAAAATTTATATAAAACTATGTTATTTTTGTTAGTAGCCTTTTTAAAACTCATAGTAAATACTCTTTATTAGAACTGGACAAGATTTGAAACATAGATAGATAATAGTCTAAAATAGCCCAAAGGCCACTCTTTATCCCTGTCAAATTTATTGATAAAATTGACATTTAGGCGAGCGAAGCCGTAAGCAAAAGCTAGTTATAATATAATGTAACCTACGAAATCAGAGAGTAAAAATGTATCTTTGTATGACAATAAACATTATTATTTTATATTAAGTTTGGTGTTCATTAACACAAACTTTTCAGTAAATATAAAGATAAAGCCTTAAGAACTACTATTGAGAGCTAGAGCTTGATTTAATAATAAAAAGGTACCTGGGTGTTGTGTGGACACGCCAAAAGGTCACCGTGAAACTGATGTCCACAGAGAAATCTGTATATATTATACATAATATAATTATAATGTACCCTACGAGATCAGGGAGTAAAATTGTTACAACCTTTTTGTCAAAAATTATAGTTTTTATATTGTACAAACATCAGACAACGCAGGTCTTAAAAAACTAATAGTGTCATTTTAAACACTCGTCTCCTCGTCTCTCAGATTCACTCACAGAGTACAGTAATATTATTAGAGATATTTCAGTCACCCTCACGTTTCTGTTAATGATATTGCTTACGAGTTCTATTTAATATTTCAACAATGGAAGAATTCAATGATATTGAGTTTTTATTTGATATTTCAAGTCAGATAAAAGAATTCTATGAGACCGCAGTCGTTTTTGTCACTAAGAAGGATTACTCTGACCACATATTTACTGCTTTATGTTCTATTCGTGAAGCTTTACAGAAAGAAGACAAAAATCGTACGCTTGAACTTATCATTGATTATCATTTACACTGGTTACATGCTGTTAGTGATATAGAAAAGTTTAAGAAATCAACAGAACACGATATAACAAGAGATGATATGTCTGAATTAATAAGTTATACAGTAGATGCTCTTGGTTATCGCCTCAAACGCTATCAAAACTACGTGGAAAGTCTTATGCTTGACTTGAAACCTGAAGACCGATCTAAAGTTCAGGCTGACTTAGAAATAATTAGTGAAATGCATTCAGAAGTAACTCAGTCACTCCTAGAAAAAGCTAAGAAATTAAGGAGTTTGAAATCAGACTTGGATTTTTTCACAAAATCAAAAGCTGAGGGAGAGGAATTACTTAACTGGTTAGATAAAATAAATGATGGCTTATCTATGAAACTATGCAAGTATGTTAATGTGCATATACCAAAACTTAGTGACGATTTGACAAAGACTTTGCAACAGGTTGTGGAAGAACTTACTACGAAAAAAAGTGAATCTGCTAAAAATATGCTAGAGGAGCTAAGAACAACAGGTAGAGAACTCGGTTCAATGATACACCTTACTACTGGGCACAGTCTAGAAATGAATAAAGTATTTCAGAAAATAGGTATACTGGATGACCGCATTAAACGTTTAGAGACTGACACAGATAAACCATCTGCAGCTCTCATGGCTTTGAAAAATAAAAAAGATTTTTTAGAACAAAGAATGGTGTCGCTGGAAAATTTAAAAACGAACCTAAGAAGTCTTAGAACAAAGACTGCCGTTCCCATGGATAATGTACCTGATGACGAATTATGTGTTTGTGAAGATTTTTTTCAACTTAGAATTTTTAATCACAGTCTTCCGCAGGAAAATCGGGAAACCTTAATCACGGACCTATGTAGTTTATGGGATGTTGCCGTGTTAGGGGAAAAGGGAGATAAGTCTATAATTTCAATATTAAGTGCCGCTGATATAAAAGAGGAATATACTGATGAACTTGGGACGTTCACTACAGATGAACACGGTAGAAAACTATATAAATTACCCGATGATGACACACTATACCAGCTTAATGAACGTAATGAACTGGTCCCTGTGACTGATGATGCTGATTGCGTTTATTTTTATGATGAATGTGGGCGCTATTTCTTAGATAAAAATACAAGACAACGCGTTTACAAAGCTCATGCAACTGCAAGTGAATATATGATGGATTCTTTTGGGGTACTTTTAAAAGTGAAGGAGGAAAGGGATGGTATTACGTTTTATTACGATAACTATGGGCGTTATTATATAAATGAAGAAGGCAAACATATTTATCGCGATGTAGACACGATAAGCGAATATGAAAACGATGGTTTAGGCAATCTGGTACGTATTCGTAGTCACTTAGATTTATTCGAACCTTGTCCAGGCGATGCCCATGTAACTGAAGACTGCAAGTATTTAAAAGATGCTGTAGGGAAAGCTTTGCGTTATTGCATTGGTCAGGTTTTGATTCATCAACCGGCCGATCCAATTAAGTATTTGTCAAAATGCCTTATTAAATATAGAGAAAATATAGAGCAGAGAGATAAACGAGCAAGAGAGCTAGAAGAATTGAATGCTGAACGGGAAATTATTGCTGCGGAGGAACGTGCTGCAGCAGAAAAAGCTGCAATGGAAGCTGCGCTAATGACACAAGGAGGCAGTGAAGCCAGTATTGATACAAACTTATTGAAGTATACTACTTTATATAGAGATGATGCTCTTTCTACTACAAATTAAGTAGGTTCTTAATGATACGGCCTCTTTATTAAGGCCATTTAGGTTATTTATTTTGTAATTCAACGTTGATGGAAAGTGCATAGTGAATTTTAATTTAGTCACGGGATGTGATATTATGTTATTTAGCAGTCAGTTAGAAAATAAACAATACTTTACGATAGTTTTGTTCTTACAATATTACCTCTCACTATTACCGAGATCGAGAATGGTCTAGAATCCCCACTGGATAGAATAGTCGCATTCTATTTAGTTCCAAAACAGTTAACTTCCACACATGTTTGTTTTATATGTATTAATTAACTGTACTGTATTCACAGTATGTATTCACGTCATGTATTACAGAAGTAAAATTTTGATGAAGCAAAATGTTAAGTCTATACCTAAATACGAGTAAAAGCGGCGAAGTTAAGAATAAAAAGAATTGGATACGATTTAATTAGATGTTGATGTGACGTTATATTGAGAGTCATGATTAAAACTCATGTTAGGCAAATCAGTGGTAAAGCAAAGACATTGCAAGTTCATTTAAAAGTATTTCATTTGGAATGAAGTGGATCATTGAATACGCTCGTGAAGAATATAGTATTATGATACCGTTTTTTTTATAAAGAATGATTTGGTATTGTCTCGTTGTCTAAAAAATAATAATAATTGCTGACTACCACTGTCATCTTGCTCAATTCTATTTGGGGTTGACATAATTTGAGATATTGCACAGGGTTTTGGCTGATTCCTTATATAGCTGGCCAATCCGATGCCAATTCTCTTTGCTGATGTATTCCCTTTTACACGACACTATGGAAAAAGTCAAAGGTTATTGGAGCCCAAACCCTCCGCTTCCCCCTGATTCAGGGAGGGTGGGTCTGACAGGCCCGCATCGTACTTGTGACTTTGAGTTGCAGGTGTCCATGGACGGTGGTAGTTACTTACCATCAGATGAGCCGTCTACTCGTTTGCCCCACTCTGTGGCCCATCTATTCCATAAAAAAATGGGAGAATAATTAATGAATTTGGAATTCCACAAAAGACAACTGACAACGAAAGGGAGCTAAGGTAACAAATACCGCGAATGTCGGATGGGAAACGGGTTTTGGACTGCAGTAACTTGAATGGGCCAGAGTTGCGCACGAGTATGTCACTCTTGTGATTTGACAATGATTGAACTGTAGTCTATAACTCATATTGTTATATTTATAGCTACGAGATGGCTGGCAGGAGCGGGATGCGAGAAGCCCAAAATCGATCTAAGTGGCGTGCAATGGGAGAGGCCTAAGTCCAGCAAGGGATTGCGATGGGCTGATGATGATAGCTACAATAGCTGTTCCTTGTTCTTTTATGTTCTTGTAAATTATTATTAATGCTTCATATTACTTTCAATTTCACGCTAAATAATTGAGGTACTATATTCTGATTGAAATAATGAATAACTAGGTTTCAGAATATTGTTAGGTATAATAGACGACCCATCTAAATCTTATTCTACTGTGCTAACACCTCGTGTATTTCGTTATAAAAAAATTGATCATGTTAAGAACGTCTTAAATTTTTTGACAACCTTCTTACCTTAATATTTTAAAATCCTAAAAGACCCATTTTGATCTAAATGATATACGAAACCAGTGCATCATTATAGGGACTGACTGTTTATCTTCTTATATACATTTAACAGTATGAGCAACTAAATAATTGCCATGTTGATTAAAAATAAAAGATCTCTGTCTCATGAGTCTCGTCTCATTTAGCTTGGCGTACTGTGCATAATAGTTTTTCTTTTACTAAAAGTTCGTGATGGTTTATTTTAGTTTTCCATTGAGAAGATTAGATACAGCTTTCTTTTTCTTTCTTTAAGAATTGTACTACTTTGTGTTCTTCTTCATTATTTCCGTGTTGTGAGAATGGTACGATATGGTAAAGTATACCTATTTTGTATGACAGGGTGATCGTTAAGATAATTTATCAAATCTCTGATGTGGAGAGTATTTGGTGCTGGTGTGATAACAAAGCCACTTACTTTACTTTTTTAGGCTCTGTCTTTTTTTCTGGCTAATTTGAAAAAGTTACTATACTATAAAAAAAAAATACCATAGTACCACAATTTTTTCATGCAAGTATTACACATTTTATTATCTGTGAAATGGTTTTGACAATTGTGGTCGGCCATTTGTGAAATAATGAAATTGTCCCAACCCTGGGCTGAGTTTATTTAATACATTGACTTTAGCACTTTGTGGTGACTGTACGTTTGCAATTTTGTAATCGAACTAGTTACTAATCTATATTATTAAATAGGAACTATTAGTAATCAATGTTTGCAGAACAAACTTTGTCTATTTAGTATAAATGAGGTGAACTCGGTAAAAACAATTTATAGTGCCTACGTACTTCCTATAATGATTAATCTTTTGGGGCAAGGTTCTTCAATATTTTATGTAAATTAGTATGTATCGAAGTGAAGTGACGGATTGTGCATTAAGTGTTGTCATCACGTGCCAAAACGTACGCGAATAGACGTTAAGATACGCTGAGCCGTTACTCTAACACTGCTTGACAGCAAGACGTTGGTTTTATCAATCATAATATCTTCAGCTGATGGCACTTGGTGACCGTGGTTATTAGTAAAGTGCACTGATGGCTCCGAAGCCACCACCTCCGCCGGGGCCTCCGCCGCCACCAGGGCCCCCGCCTCCACCCGTGTTTGGAGGGCCTTCTAAAGGTTCGAAAGGTTCAAGTGATGATAGAGGTGCTTTGTTAAGTTCTATAAGACAGGGCACTAATTTGAAAAAGACTCATACAGTAGATAAAAGTGGGCCGTACATACCTGGGAAAGTGTCAAATGTGTCGAGTGGTGCGTCTTCAGGTGGGAATTCACCCAGAACTGGTGCTCAGCTACAGAATGGCGGTGGTGGTGGACCACCAGCTTTAGGGGGTCTATTTGCTGGTGGTATGCCAAAATTACGATCGACGGGTAAACTGCCAGGTAAGACTCTTATACAACCTAATGAGGCCTTAAGTTGTTGTGTATAGTGACTGAACTTGAAGTCATGTAGATCAGATGTGAAATCTAAATCTCGTTTATTAAATGGAAATAGGATTGTGTAAATTTATGAATGAAGTGTAGAATATAAAGAAACCAATTTTGATAACAGAACTAGTAAATTATTGTATTGTTTTTCTCTTGTTTGCACTATATTACATAGTTATGATATTATATCCTATAAAGTAATTGTTCTAATCATCAATCATCAACAGCCCTTAATAGTCCACTGCTAGACATAGGCCTCTCCTCAGAAAGGAGGTTTTGGCCTACTATACCACACTGGCCAGACGGGTTGGTTATGGGGCTTTTTCAAGTTTTCCCTTCTCTTTGCAGTGCTGTTATCCTATGTAGTTTACTCCCTTAGTCAGCTATTACAACATCAATGGGATGAATAGGAGTAGTGACCCTCGTATTCTTAATCCGTCACCACACAGATATTGTGATAAATATCAAAAGATAACTAATATTATACATAGGTACCTAATATTAATAATAACACTTCTCACATGAAGCCATTTGATTCTAAACTAAGCCTGTGCTATGATAACTAGGTTGCTGATAAACAATTCTAAAGTAAATATATTATAGGTAGATGTAGAATTAATGATTATGTTCATCATTCAATTAAGTATTACTACTGTACAGTTTGAATTGGGATGTACTAAAGATCCATATTCACGGATTGAGAGGTTAATAAATAAACTGGCACCATTTATCAACTTGTGGGTTCAGTTCAGTTCTGATCAACTTTCGATCTCACAACTGTAAAATATATATGATTAGGTGCCATATCTGTGTGTATTTACAAATATAAGTATGTTTATTAGCAGTATGGTTACTGTAGTACAGGCTCTGCCTAGTTTGTGATCAGACTATGTGTAAGGAAATTAGGATATCAATTTAAGTGTATGGTAATCAAATATTATAAAGTGGTAAAGTTTGTGAGTTTGTATATTTGGGGTAATCTAAAGGACTACTGATCCGATTTTGAAAATTATTTTCCTGGTAGAAAGGTATATTATCCCTGAGTGCTATAGACTACTTTTTACGGTGAAAACTGAGATACATGTGGGCGGAGCTACGGGCAAAAGCCAGTATCAAATATTAAGAATTAATTACATTTATATTCAGGAAAAATTAGATAATGTTATCTTGTCAGTTTCTTATTTAGTATTAGGAAATGGCTATCATTGGACACTTTACAGTTTTTTTATTTCACTTAAAATTATCTTAATAATGATTACCTTATCTATTTGTCATTTTATAAGCAATACTAGGCCTACATAAAATAGTGACAGTTTATTACACTGTCATGTAACATCTCAATGATCTCAATTATTTTAATAATAAGTTTATAATAATATTAAAGTAATATGTTAGTGACAACAGATTGATTTTTTTGTAAACATCTGCTTCCTAGTCAGTTGAGACAGCAAAAGGTCTGTGAAAAATATTTACTATCATATCTATAGTCCCCTTGGCTTTATAAATATCATTAAATAAAATACAGACAAATAAATAAAAAAAGTTTTTTTTTAATAGACATCTCCCACACTAGGAATATGTCCTGTTTTCTGGGGGTACTTTATAAACATACATGAAACGGACACAAAGAACACCCAAAACGCAGAACGACAATTTGTAGATCACACAAAGTGTTGTCCCATGTGGGTATAGAAACCACAACACTCAGCGTAGTAGGAAGCAGCGTGGTAGCCCCTTAAAACACTACGCTATCCGTGTGGTCGTGTTGATTACTGAAATAATATGTATACATACACACAATAGAAGAATTTGCTGTTTTGATATGACTGAATTAATAAAACCATGTACGTATTAAAACAAGGTCTGACAGAGACAGGGAATGACTTCCCTGCTCGTAGTCACGAAACACATCACTGATGGAACATGCTCTTCAGTTCGAAATGATACACCCATACAACCATACGAAATGAAATAATTGAAACCAACTAGCCATTTATCATACACAAAAAGGGAAGCGTTCGGCATACCTTGACACTATACTTGAACATTAAGGACTCGAGCATTGCTGACAGATCTTTTTAGGACTGCAAGAACCATTTGTTGTCTTTAAGATAAGATTTAAATCCATTAAAGTCCGAATCAATTTAAAAAACGGCGTTTTTTCTGGTGGCTTAAATCGCGTTTAAAATCTTCTTAAACATCGAACTTTACATATTCTTGTAAATTAAACATTCAATATTTTTTTAGGCTCCAGCACACCAAATGGCCAAGTAAAGGTAGACGCACCTCGGTTTCCTCCGCCACAACCGCATCAACCTCATCAACCTTTACAAAAGAAATCACCAGAGAAGACGAGGCCGGCGATGCCTCCAGCGCCATCAGGAGGCTCCAATTTTGGTGCATTGTCGGCAGCATTATCAGAAGCGCTAGCTGGCCGTGACAAAGACACAAACATAAGGGAAACTAGAGAATTACCTAGAGAACCGCCGGCGAGGCCTGCGGTTAGAAGACAACCAAGCGATATAAGAACAAGAGGGCCTCCGCCCCAGCCACCTGTACAGAAACCAGCCATGCCTTTGGTGAGTTAACCCAAATTTTTACGTAAATTCGGCTTCTTCCAATATCTTTACGCGAGACTTTTGATTGTCAGAATTGTTAACACTTCGGCTTCCCTTACGAAAAAAAAACTTTATAAAGGGATGTACAGCCCTTGGGGCAAAATATTTTTAGTCAAGTTTCACTTCCCAAAAAACTGATCCCAAATGAATCTTTTTGAATCTTCCTAAAATTATTCTTTATTAAATTATTCCAAAAAATTGTTTGTTGTGTGAACTGCTGCCAGAAAAGTAGGTTAGGCTAGAACTGGGACCCCAATAGCGCGCGAGCCGATCGAGTGAAGCGAGCGTGCCCCTCAGCGTCCGGAAAAGGGCCAGAGACGAACTGTTCCGAGATTTTATACTCAGTATTTTAAAGATTTTTTAACGTTATGAATTTGGACTTATTGTAGTTCAAACGATTCATTTGACTAAATAATACCTGGTATGGCATAATGAAATAAAACCTGACCAAGAGGCATATTATGTCTATCACATATCATAAATGTAGGTACGCATCTTGCCAAAACGATATTGAAATACATCTTTGTATCTTATATGATTTTGAAGGTTTCGCTTTCAAAGTAAATAAAAAAAACAAAAACATAAAAAATAAGTTAATGACTTGTAGTTTTAGGATTATATACGAGTAAATCAATAAGATGTGATAAATATAGGCTCGAAGAATCTTTTAACAGCCTTAAATAGTCCAGTGCTGAAGACAGGCCTCTCCTTAGAAAGGAGGTTTTGGCGTACTATACCACGCTGGCCCGACGGGTTGGTATAGGGTTTGTTACAAGTTTACCTTCTCTTTGCAGTGCTGTTGTCCTGCGTTGTTTCGCTGCCTTAGTCGGCTCTTACGACATCCACGGGATGAATAGGGGTGGTGACACTCCTACTCTTATTACGTCACCACACGTACTTTTGAAGTGTTACGATTAGTGTAATCTGATATTCTATGTACTATTGTGTGTTTACTCGACTTGAATTGTTTATACCAGTAAAACAATTATATTTTTGACCTGATTATAGATGAGTAGCCACTGGGCAAGTGCGAAAATGCGGTTGTGGTCGTTTTGCCAACGTTGTACGTTGGCAAAACGACCACATCGTATTTTATTTTATATCGACTACTAAGATTCAATTAATTATTGTCAATATTAAATTTTAGGCATATCAATGAAACAGTATGTTGCAGCTGTTTTGAGATTGTTGAGTGTTCACGTTGAGAAAATACCTATAATACCTATTGTTTTTATTCTAAATTGGCGCCTAACTCTGCTCTAAGTGCCAGGAGACCCCTATGTAATATTTGTGTGACCTAGGAGATAGTAATGCTCTTTATTTTGCATCTTACAGGCTAAATATATATCCTACCCTATACACATATCAGGAAATTATAAGAAAATGCTCATATGAAATAAGTAATACCTATTCTATCCTATCTCATGTTTAATCGTGATAGTTATTTACGTAGACCGATAAATTCATGTAGGTGTTATCTGAGTTACGATTTTATCATGTTTGAGTAGCTACCTATACCTACAAATATTTAGGTACATATTTTATTTTGGATCGAATCCAAATAAACTGTCTTTAGTTATACATACTATACAGTGACATTTTAGTTTGATGAGCTAATCTGACACATTTTTGTTATGGTATGGTTATGTAAAATGACACTACGACCAATACCATCAGAACAGACTGGAAAGGCCAAAATCTCCTTTGAAAGGAGATTTTGGCCTACTATAACCACGCTGGCCAGACGAGTTGGTATAGGGTTTGTGTCAAGTTTTCCTTCTCTTTGCAGTGCTGTTGTTTTGCCCAGTTTGCTTCCTTAGTCGGCTCCTACGATACTTACGGGATGAATAGGGATGGTGACACTCGGTATTCTTAATCCGTCACCAAACTGATGAGATAAATGAAAGCTTTCAATACAAACATATTCTTTTGTCTCCCCTTGCCAAAAAGTGTTCGAACCTTTAAGTGTTTGTTCCTTCGATATCATTGGAGAGCTATGCTTCGTCACATGTAACGCGATCGGAGTGGATAACACTTCCTCATAGGAAACCAATGTTCAACAATTACTTCGTTGCTGTGAGGTTATCGGAGGCTCATCCCCTCACCCCCCTTCCATAAGTCAATACTCATAGGAAAGCAATGCACTTGTGTCTCTGTAGTTGTTCGTGTCCATGGGCGCAGGTTCTCACTTACAATCAAGTGACCCGTTTGCTCGTATATCACAAAGTTGATATTAAAATCTTCAAAATGCATTCGACCTTTCCTCCTTTCTAGCAGCATAAGCCCAAGCTATAGCGTATTCAATTCAAAATAGCTACCTCTAATGTCGGTAGCGGAGAAAGTTCTTGAGTCTGTACTTCGCCATTAGCTCACGCTGCTCACGTCACAAAATACGTGATTAAATGTGTTATAAAGATTAGCTACGCTTGTATACTCACTAATACTTCTGTTTGTTAAAGAATAAGGCTTTCTGTTCACATTCAGTAACGTAAGTTAGCTTCGGTTGCTTTTTTGGGTATGGAAGACAATCGAGCAGACGCGTCAGCAGACCTGGGCCTTAATTCTGCTATTTCTATATTGTATCAATAGACTGTCGATGGAATGTCGTCGGAATAGTTTTGCAATTTTCCTATTCTACTAACTATATAAGACCAGTGGCCTCCCTATGACTTGTCACTCATACAAATGTCGTCGATGTCTTCGTAACAGATTGGTAAACGGTACATTTTAAATTTCTAAGAAAATTATACATTTAATTTGCCAGGTATGGCAATGCTGTTGATAGCACTATTTATGACCTATATTACTAGAACGACAATCTATTGACACTGTAAATTTATGTTAGTAGAATACTGATATTTTGACTGCTGTCAATAGTGTCTCAATGGCATGTCAATGGAATTACAGTGGCTTCGCGTTACTATAAAATAGCATAATTGAGGCCCTGATGGTAAGTGACTACCGGCGTCCTTGGACACCTGCACCTTAAGAACACAAGTTCAATTCAATTCACTTTTATTTGCTATAATATGGGTTATACAATAATCAGATGGAATAAATACGAGTACAGCTAGTTTCACCATATTAAGCTGAATGTCACATCATGCGAAAATTAACAATAATTATAAAAGAAACAAAAGAATATCTAATTGTGTTATTGTTCTAAATAATAATACAATTCTAAAGTTAAATAATAAAAAACAAAGGAATAATAATAAATACCCACTATGCGTTGCTGCCATTTACTACCCCCCTGCCACCCCCGCCGTCTAGGGTTTGGGAGAAGGGGATTAACATCCCCTTCTCTCAAACTCTAGCAGCAGGATAAGTTTGGTAAGGATAAGTTTGCAGGATAAGTTTGGTAACTTTATTCTAGTTGAAAAGCTACCCAATAATTACTTAACACCTTTTTCTGTAAGGCTAAGGTATCACTCCGATGGAGCCGATCCCTATATGTACCGAAAGAGGGCTCTACGACTGAACACTTGCATTTTAAAAATAACCGTCACCAAAACATTAGTTATCCAAACGGGGAGTGGAATTACGAAATTTTATATTATCTGTCCGTATGAAGCACAAATGTCTGAGCATAGATAAACAATAAACTTGAATGACGTCAAAACAAGGAGGAAAATAAATAATATATGTAATTGTTGTGCTATTGTTTTACAATCGTGTCAGCTTCACACAAATAAAGAATTCGTGGATGACATATCGGTAGGGCCCATCTATACTTGTTTATAAAGTGGTCCATTATATTGTATGGCGATCTTTAGTATTAGAGTATATTTAAGAAACTCGCTCTGCTACTAACTATAAGTAACTACTAACTAATGATGTAAAAGGAAGCTATATTTATTTTCTAGCACAGCTGACTGTAACCAGACCAGTAGGTAAAGATAAAGTTTTTTTAGGTAAAGGATACTGGCATCGAGTGCTTATATTACTACACTGGATAATGTAGTAATATTTGACACCATTGCTCAACCCCTAAAATTATTTTAGTAAAATTTAATTTCCTGTTAACTCGTCCAACTTTAGCTAAATGCTTGAGTCAGCGAAATTCGTGTTTTAGTTTTTTTTTAATGCGATTATCAATATTTTCCGTGATTCCGTGGACCATTATATTGTCTTTGTTTATAGGTAACAACGATTGGTAAAGCTTGTTAATCCATTCTTTTTTATATTTTACACTAAAATTAAAAACTAAATTCTAATTAAACCTAAATTCTAAACTAATTAAACCTAAATTCTAAACTAGACAGAGCCTGAAGCTCTGAGTTGCAGGTGTTGTATGCGGCGGTAATAGGTAGTCACTTTCCATCAGGTAACCCGACTGCTCGTTTATTTATTTATTTCTGTTTATTTTCTTCACTCTTCTTTTTTTCTTTCTTCTTTACCCCCCTATATCACAAAAAAAAAACATTTCTTAGAGAAATTACATCCAGACATAAATTGTTGTGCTTATTACACAATTAGTTGACCTGAGTAGGAATCGAACGTGTCAAACCACTAACCCAATAGTCAAAAATTCTAATGATTCAGAATAGAAAGACAAGGTAGATCTTCTTAAAGATTGTGACCAAGACCGTTAGCGACATTGGCCTAGTAATAAGGCATTTAGGGGCTCAAATAGCAATACTGTCAGTTATTGTACCAAAAGCTACTCTATACGTAAGTTATGAAAAGTTAAATTTGTAAAATAATCTGCATTACACATGCATATAAAAAAATTGTGCACCTTGACAATAATTTCCGATTGAGTAAGACATCCCTCAAGGTGGAATGTACGCATATGCATTTTTGACGGATGTACCGAATTTCAAAACAAAACATTGGCATTGGCCAACTTTCAACGAAACGCTATAAATTAAAGTCTCTGCCCACTGTTTATTGTCAATGTAAAAATACCCTTAGCGGAGATGGCACGTGTCGCAATAAAAAATTGAAATGTACCACGT